CCTTCGCGCTTCTATGGTGCCTCAAAGCATGTTAATATTATTCCTGGTGATGGCAGCTTGAGTGATGATGACATTTCTTCTTATAGTGATGATGATTTTGAACCTAGCTCCATTCGCCAACCTCAAAAAAGACGTATTATTATAGCTGAATCAGAATCAGATATTTCTGATGATGACGATGTGCCATTGATAAACTTACAGGCTGCATCTACATCTAAAGTTAAAGGGAAAAAGGCTTAGAAGGAACGGGTTATTTGGAAAAAAGGGAAAATGCCTGCTTATGACAGAAACAACTTTGAATTTAGAGGTGATTCAGATTTACCGGATATGATAAAGCAACTAGATACACCAGCCGAAGTTTTCAAGTTCTTGTTTACATCTGATATGATTGATTTTATTACTGAGCAATCTAATATTAAGTCTATTCAAGATAATATAAACAAGCCCGCAGGCATCATGAAAGAAGAAATTGAAAAATTTATTGGAATCGTGATCTTCATGTCCTGCGTGAAATTACCGGGTGCGAGGATGTATTGGTCAAAACATGTAGGCCAGTCACAGGTTTACGAAGTGATGACGTGCAATAGATTCGAAACTATTAAAAAGATTCCTACATTCCTACATTTCAATAATAACGAGAACTTCATACCTCGCGATAAAGATGGGCATGACAAATTGTTTATAATCCGACCTTAACTAGATAAAATTCGAGAGCGTTTGATGTTAGTCCCTAAAGAAGAGTTTCTGGCCGTAGACGAGCAAATAATACCTACTAAATGCCGTCACGAATTGTCCTCCACAGTTCCTCGACATCAAAACTACAAGATTTGTTTTGACAACTGGTTTAATAGCCCTAGGCTTCAAGTTTATCTGTACAAAAATGGCTTGCTCCCTTAAGGAACTGTGAGACTCAACTGTGTGCCAAACTCAAATATGCCTGCTAAAAAAGGAATTTAAAAAAAGAGGACGAGGAAGCATGGAAGAAAAGATAGCAGTCATCGACGGTGTGAAGCTGAGTTTGGTTTCCTGGTTTGATAACAAAAATATAAACCTCCTTTCAGCATATGTGGGTAACGAGCCAACAACAACAAAACGGCGTTATGTTCGAAAGGAAAAAAATATAAAGACATATCTTCTCCCCAAGCCGTCGACGTTTATAACCAGCATATGGGTGGAGTTGATTTGCTTGATTCAATGCTCGGTTATTACAGAATCCACTTGCGATCGCGCCAGTGGTACAAAAGAATTTTTTTCCACACGGTAGATTTGTGTATTGTTAATGCCTGGTTACTTTAGCGCCGGATCAATTCAGACCAATACATGCCTTTGTTTGATTTCAAACTTGCAGTTTCCGAACATATGCGTAAGGCAAGCAAAGCACCGATACTAAAAAAACGTGGCCGTCCATCTAGCATTCTTGGAACACCGACATCCAGCCAAGGGCGGATCCAGCTTTGGCGCCAGGGGGGGGGGGGGGTCATATAGCCAGCTTTGGCGCTAGGGGGGGGCGTCATATAGCCAGCTTTGGTGCTAGCCTGCTAATACTAATACCTGCCAAAAAGCCTCGAAAGATTCCAGCCAGACATCAAGATATGCCTTTAGATTCCGTACGTTCTGATGGGATCAGTCATTTTCCCATTTGGAAAAAAATACCCGACAGCTATGCCAGTGTTGCTCAAAATATCGTTCTTTCACTAAATGTGAAAAATGTAATGTATTTTTATGTTATAATGACAAATATAATTGTTATAAAGAATTCCACGTAATATAATTCAGATTTGTCCTAAACGCATACGAAGCCAGTCATATTACATGACCAGACTGCATGCGAAGCCATATATGGCGTCGTATAATAACTTCTAATATATAAGTTTTATTTTTTTAATTTTAATTAGATCTCATTATGTAAGCCTAATAAAACACTATTATGCAAAAAAATATTTTTTATTCCATCTCTTTAATAACTCATACGGTAAGGGGTTAAAACAAAAGAATGTCATAAAGCTCTTTCTAATCTTTCTTGATATTTAAATGAAATGAACTGGAAAAAAAGCAAAAAATAAAAATAAAAAAATATTAAAGAATAAGCTTAGACTAGTTACGCTGTTTTGTTCATGTCACTCAAATGCCATTTGTCATTTAATAAACAGAGACAAAACATGGAGAAACTAATCCAAGCGAAGTCTTCGTTTATTAAAAAGGGGTTGTTAATTTACCCGTACGGGTATAAAATTTCTCCAAACCTTTATTTTCCTTCGCACCGTATTTATGTTAATACTAAGTATACTTAGGTTTAGATAAAGAAAATAGTTAAGATGCATAAAATTTTCATTCTCTACCTTGTTTTTTGTGTTTGAAAACAAATATATTTACCAGATATCCGTCTTTTTATCTTGTGATTTTTCACGGATCTGAAATTCGTTGTTTAGTAAATTAACGTATTATATAACATCAGGTTAGTTTGTGTACACGACGACGCCGGTTTTTTCGCGATGCCACCAAAAATATGCGGAACGAAATCGGATATCATTGCTATTTGACTAGTTTTATCGCTAATCATCATAATTTTGATATGAAGGAATGTCGTTCGAAAGGACATAGCTGAACACCCGTCACATAAATAATTGAGAAATATTGTATCCAGTTTAATTTAAGTAAAAAACACATTGATTTTTTTACAATCGTTCAATGAGTAGGATGTCCTTTTTTTAAGTTGTTATTAGGATTTCGCACACATCCGCGGCTCTAAGTTTAGTCTAAGGTCTAAGTTATTGGGTCCTTAAATAGCTGTACGCGAACAGGGCTACCACTTTCCTTAGATAAATACGAGCTCCGTATTGCTTTATAAACATTAAAAATTTCACAGCCTTGTAAAGTAAACATTAGTTCGCGTTATGTTCCAGCTGCAAAGAAACATAGATATATTAAAATAGTTACATAGAACAGCCGAAGAAAAATATTTTCACTATTTTTTCAGGAAAAAATAATTGTTTTGCCGAACTATAATATATTTTTTGCTTTTCACTAAGAAAACTCGGCTCATTTTACACTATTTACTTTGCGAATCGAACGGAGTTCGTTATGAAAATTTCTGCCCGCAGCGCAAAACTAGGTATATAGAAGACCCCAAGCGGGGTTTTAAGGATTACCTCGAGCGCGACAGAATAACAGAATAGCAACCTTGCACCCTGTGAAGCACCTCCACCATACCTGAGCCCTTTTCAAAGGGTCGAACCAGGGCAGTAAAAAAAAACAATCGGCCATGTTTCTTGGGCGCGTCAAAATCGTCCAGTCTTTTGCACGGTAACTACTGGAGGGGTCACGTATCACCCCGTATCTCAACTTTTTAGCGAGCTCGATTTTTTTTCCTATTGTATACCTCTTTCTACGGTCACCCCCACATTATGCATACCGGCAGATTAATATTTTTCTGTCATCGCAAACGTTACGTAAACCCTCCAGTAGATCCTATTCAAAAGACGGTTTAAATTTATAACCTAGTTTCTGAGTTATGTACAACTATATTTTAAAAACTTTGGAATCGGTCCGAATTATTGATTTAAATTTTTGTGATAGGCCTTTTGAATTTGTTTTGTATCATAAGGATAGTTTAGTAACTGCAGCAAGTACATATACTGATAGAGCAACTAGCAAAAGCATTCATTCGACCTTTTTAGGTTTTCTGTTTCAGGAGCACATTTTTTTATGTTATACGGCATACGATCAGACGGTTCACCTGATGGTAAGTGATCAGCGTCGCCCATGGATACTTGCAACACCAGGAGTATCACAAATGCGATGCCGGCCTTTAAGGAAGGAGTACGCTCTTTTTTATTAATTGAGCGGCTTACATGTTTATTAATTGAGCGTACGGTAGTGCGTGTGTAATATTTATTTTATAACTAGTGGCCCGCCCTCGCTTCTCTTCGGTGTAGAGCTGTAGTGTGTGTGTAGGTAGACTATAGTTTTTGTTGTCAGGCTTCTATTATACACAATGAATTTCTTAATATAATTATTTTTCTCACCTTTAAACCTTCCCTAGACCTCCACGAACATTTCAAGACCAAGGTAAGATAAATCCGTTCAGCCGTTCTCGAGTTTTAGCGAGACTAACGAACAGCAATTGATTTTTATATATATAGATGTGATTTTTATAAGAAATATTAGCTTTCTGTACTGGTCTATCTACCTATATTTACCTTAATTATGCAATTATCTCATATTCTTCTTCTCACATCCTCACTCGCAAAATGTGATTAAAAAGAGGTCCAAACATTTTTCCTTCGCGTCGGCATCGGAATATCTTAAACCTGTAGCAGCCCTGATCGAGTACGGTACGAAGTAAAGAGCGGTCAATGTCAAGCATCACGATTACCTTAACTTACGTAAACGTAGTTATCCAATGCATGCCGATCCGATAGAGCCTCATTCGTATGCCTATGCGGATTCTCGGAGATTCCGGCTCGGTATACATCACGTTTCAACACGATCTTGTTGTTTTTTTATAACAATTTTTTCTCGCAGTTTCCCACGGGTACGATAGCAGAATGGCTAATTGACCGATCGAACGGATAAAAATAAGGCTTATAAAAAACACACGGCACACAAGCATATGAAACAGAGGCAAAATATGTCGTCTTTTATTTTGGGCCGTTTTTAAGTTAATTTTGTTTGGGTAGGTTCTACGTACTTTGTGATATATTTTTTTCAAGTATTGAAGTATTCGATGTTGGACCTATATAAATGCTTTTTTGCATTACAAAACTGCGAGAAGTCTTATTATTTCGCATCCTGTAACATCAGCCGTTGACCTGAGTGAAAGATATCAATGGGATTCGAAAAAATCTTGCAGCATTCTGTAGTTATCGTAATCTACGGGTCGTTCTTAATTGTAATATATTTTTTGTTATGATTAATGTTGTAATTCCACGTTTCATTCATCAAATATCCAACAAGATTACAAGATAAACGACTACAAAGTTCACGGTCATCAAGTTACGGTCGGTAATTTTCTCTAACAACAGGCGTTCGGCAAACAAGGCGCGTCTAGATTCCTAGCTCGGAGGCTGCATCCGGGCCACCGCAGGGATCGAGTTACGAGGAGCGTGCGAATGTCAAGGAACCCTCGCCGCTGCGTCACCGCCCGCCAGTCGCAGCCGACATGTCTGCGGGTGCGCATGCCTCGCGCACGCTGATAGCGCTCCTCGCGATCGCCGCGCAACTAGTCGGTGAGTAACGAAGGCGATATAAATAATCATAACCGCTAATGATATAAATTGAAAATTCACGGTTACCGGAACTAAAATAGACGAATATAATAGATTTTAAAATCGCGCTTCTTTTTTGGTTTCAGGATCTGAAGATATCACTTGTGCCAAGGACGGTTTGTACGCGGACTACGACAGCGGCTGTCGCGAATATGTGAAATGTCTAGGGGGTGTAATGAAAGGACGATATGTTTGTGGGTCGGGACGGGCGTTCAGTGAGGTAGCAGGCGCATGCGTGCCTAAAAGGCGCCAGCCCTGCGTCCGCCGCATCTGTGCTCCAGGAGACGAGCTGGCGTACGCGTCTCCTGGGACAGCTTGCCGGCACTATTATCGTTGCGAAAATGGCAGTGCGGTGGAGCACGCGTGCCCTTCCGGAGCATGGTTCGACCTCGACCGTCAGGCGTGCACGCGAGGCGCCGGCACTTGCTACGAACCAGTGTGCGCAGGTTTGCCGGACGGAACATACCCGGACACGTCCCACGAATGCCGTCGGCGGTTACAATGCCGCGGAGCTGAGCTTCGAACGGTGATGTCCTGCCCTGGGGGGGCCTGTACTAAGTCCTGCCCACCACCCCGCTCTGCAGCCTTTCCTCTCCCCGCAGGCGACGCAGACTTCTGTTCTGACGAAGTCTGCTCCTCGCTGTGCCACCAAGCCGAGGACGGGGCCTACGCCGACCGGTCCACTGGTTGCCGTGAATACTTTGTGTGTGAATCTAAGCGTGTTATTCGACGGGGAGTATGCGAACCAGGACATTTGTTCTCTGGAGGAGGGTGCGAGCCAGCTTCCCGAACGTATTGTCCACCACCAGCTCGAAGCCCGTGCTTCAACCGCCCGGACGGCCTGTACCGAGACTGGCGCGACTGTTCGTCGTGGTTCGACTGTAGACGCGAGCGAGTAGTGACGCGTGGCTCTTGCGATCCCGGGTTGGTGTTCGATGGTGCGAGGTGTGTAACCAGAGACATTTTTACGTGTGAAGGGCCGGAACCTGCTATAGTGTGCGATGGACTGCCAAGTGGGACATATCAAGATTTAGAATCTAATTGCACGCGATACTTCCACTGCGAAGGAAGCCTTCGAACGACATTAGCATGCCCTCCAGGCAAAGTGTTTGACGGTGCTCGATGCTCGCTTGCTGAACAGTACTTGTGCCCGAGCTTGGAACAAGATTCATGTTACGGACGTCCAGACGGTCGCTACCGAGCCTTGGATACAGGATGCAGAGGATACTACTCGTGTGTGAACGGAGAAAAGGCGGTGTACGCGTGCGCCATGGGACACGTGTTCGATGGTGAAATGTGTGTTCCTGCACATCTGGGCAAATGCCCGATCGATGACTACTCGTGTTCTGGATTAAACGACGGCTACCACGCAGAACTAGAGTCAAACTGCCACAGGTACATTGTTTTCCTTATAATAAGATATGATAAGAATTAAGAACAAATTTCAATCTAAATAGGTACCATTTCTCAATCGAAAGAACATAAGCTCACTACATTAAATTTTCAAAACTGCACTCAGGAAAATTCTATAAAAATTTAAGTGTAATTATATTAGTACCACTTCCTTACGATAACTTTAAATGACTTCAAATTTATTTGACGCCTCTAACTAGGACAATTACCGTAATTTATCTAATTTATTCGATTGTAATATATTATAATTACCTACTTAAGTATGGAAGCACTGTAAAAAAAGAAAAACTCATTAATGCTCTAACAACTGAACTACCTACCTAACTAAAAACTAAGCTAAATATTCTCAAAAAGAAAATTTTAGTAATCACTATCCGTATAATTTCAGATATTTTTACTGCGAGGGGGGTGATCGACTGGCCACGCTGTCCTGTCTGGCAGGGAAGATCTTCGACGGGCACGCGTGTGTGGAACCTTCGAGGCACGAATGCGGTGCTCCCCCTAAAAATACCATCGAAAACGGCGGTAAATACTGCGAACGCGACGGCTTCTTCGTACAACAAGGCACAGAGTGTAAAGGCTACTACTTCTGCGTCACCGGCATAAGGACATACTTGACGTGTCCCAACGGCCAAATCTTCAACGGGCAAGTATGCGTGCCTCGACACCAGTACACCTGCCCTGGATGAAAACAAACTTAACAAAAGATGTGACAACGGCCAGGGGTTGCAAGAATGTGGCGAGTCTGCTATTATCAACCTTATCCATAGCATAAGAATGACGCTGTAGAAACGTAGACTTAGCCTGTGTCGCCCTTAAAACGAGAAGGCCTAGTGTTGAGATGTACCTGATATCATTAAGGCTGTGATTATAATATATCTGGGACTATGTGTTCATACTCGTAGCAATTGTATCGATCAATCGCATTAGCAATATTTTTCCAAACTATTTATTTAAATAATACACAAACTCCGTTAATTCTATAATTTTATTTGCATAGAAATATTTAAGCAACCTAACTAGTATAATGTCTAATAAATTACACAGTGACTATATCTTACAGAATTACTTACAAATAAAAATACACTAAGCCCCGTGAATAGAAAAATATTTTTTCTTTTAACATTGTAAAAGATAGACAAACAATATATTATATATGAAAGCTAAAATACTTTCACTGGAGCAACAAAATTTTTAATAAAATAATTAAGACAATCTTTTCCTATACATTTGGAATAGCACAATGTTATAAGGACATGCAACTTTGTAACAAAGAATTATTATCATCAATTTTAAGTAAACAAAAAGTTTTTTGGCAATACTCATATATTTTAAGGAATGAATTTAACAGCTAGTACCATAGTTTTTTATCAAGAACATAATAAACTATAAATAAATAAATATATTGTTTATATACTGTTTTTTCTTCAATATCACTTCTAGAGATTTCTCTATACAAATTTTATTTATACATTAACTTCTCCAATCATACTGACAATACCTCTACTTACACAGGTTATAATTACAAATTTATCAAAGACGAGTTCAATCACTCTATACATTTTTTTATTTGGTCCACGCCAAAACTAGTGACAAATGTTAAACATTCAAATAAAATAAATTTACCACGAAATTGTGATCAATAAATCTGAAAAACATCTTTAAATATAAAAAAAATAAAGCACTTAACAAACTGAAATAAGTTATGATTAGAATACGTTTAAAGTTTATTTTTATTGATGCAGTTAGATTGTCAGTAATTAAATGATTATTTGTCACAAGGATCTTAATTTCCTTAATAACAAATTCAAACTGCAATATCAGCTGTATACACTTAATATTTTGAAACAAACTGATAGCTTTGTGGGAGTAGTGGCACGCGTATCATACAAAATTAAGAGTTACGAACTAGGCATAAAGATTGGAATTAGCGATCCCTTTCCAGTTGTAAAGTAAGACTGTGTAGACAAACGTGAGAGAGAGTGAAAGCGATCGTGCAACTAAAAGTTGGTGTTAGCTTTTGACAGCACTCGCTATTCTCATAGTATCGCTTTCTCTCTTACTAAGTTGTCAATTTCACGCGAGTGCCGCTCGGTCCATTCTCTATGTCCATCTCTCGATAACAGACAAAAGAAGATCAGTTTTTCCTTATATTTCCACTGTAGGTCTTACAACAAGAACTAAAGCATAGAAGTAATGCTTTGACGTTCGAGCTTACACTCCCATAGACAATAAATGAATGAAAAGATTTCCAAACAATGTATTACCCAACCAAAAAGTGTTAGTGGCCTGTTGGCAGGTTGCATTTTACATAAGATCGCTTTTAAATATGTGTCGTAAAGGTAACCAAGGTATCCACAATGACAAAGCATACCATACAAAGGTATCCTATTGGACGTTTGTATAGTAGTACGCACGCTATTCATAGTAAAGTTCACAGAAACATATATTTGTCCCTTTTCGGTCCACTTGTAAAAAAAGAATAACTATATGAGGCGACTTAATATATTTGAATTTAATTAAACTCTTTCTATGCTTTAGTTTTTGTACTGAGAAGTAGGTGGTAAATGACTGATGGTCTTACGTCTGTTAAGCTAGCATGGCAAAGTGAGCAGAATCGTTTAAAATAAAGTGCATCAATTAGTGCTTATTTAGTGCTAATTTAGTGCCAAAACCGGAAATTTAATGCTCTCATAGTTTAGCAAAAAATTAGAACACTGCCAGCTTTTAATTAAGCTAGCAGTGTATTCCCTGAAACGCCTATATTAACGCGGTATAGAACTAAAGCAATGCATAGGGAATTTAGTGCTTAATGAGTGCTGGCAGTATCTGATGAAAATTTTGGAAAATAAAAAATATTTTATTTTTTATCAATAAAAACTGCTAGTATGAGAGTCTGAGCAAGTGACCGGTTCGAATACATCACTCTGGATCGAAGATCTATGATAATCAACGGTTAATAATTTAGTGCTCAATGAGTGCTGCCAGTATGTGATAAAAAATAAGGAAATTTTATTTTTTAAATTTTTTATTAATAAAAACTGCTAGTTTGACAGTCTGAGCAAGTGCCTGGGTTGAATACATCACTCTGGATCGAAAATCTATGATAATCAACGTTTAATAATTTAGTGCTCAATGAGTGCTGCTAGTATGTGATAAAACATTTGGATTTTTTTATTAATATAAACTGCTAGTTTGACAGTCTAAGCAAGTGACAGGGCTGAATACATCACTCTGGATCGAAGATCTATGATAATCAACGGTTAATAAATTAGTGCTCAATGAGTGCTGCCAGTATGTGATAAAAAATTAGGTTTTTTTTTTAATTTTTTATCAATATAAACTGCTAGTATGACAGTCTGAGCAAGTGACCGGTTCGAATACATCACTCTGAATCGAAGATCTATGATAATCAACGGTTAATAATTTAGTGCTCAATGAGTGCTGCCAGTATGTGATAAAAAATTAGGAAATTTTATTTTTTTTAAATTTTTATTAATAAAAATTGCTAGTTTGACAGTCTGAGCAAGTGACAGGGTTGAATACATCACTTTAGATCGAAGATCTATGAAAATCAACGGTTAATAATTTAGTGCTCAATGAGTGCTGCCAGTATGTGATAAAAAATTAGGAAATTTAATTTTTTTTAAATTTTTATTAATAAAAATTGCTAGTTTGACAGTCTGAGCAAGTGACAGGGTTGAATACATCACTTTAGATCGAAGATCTATGAAAATCAACGGTTGATAATTTAGTGCTCAATGAGTGCTGCCAGTATGTGATAAAAAATTAGGATTTTTTTTTTTTATTTTTTTTTTTATAAATATAAACTGCTAGTATGACAGTCTGAGCAAGTGACTGGGTTGAATACATCACTCTGGATCGAAGATCTATGATAATCAACGGTTAATAATTTAGTGCTCAATGAGTGCTGCCAGTATGTGATAAAAAATTAGGAAATTTTATTTTTTTTATTTTTTTTATTAATAATAACTGCTAGTTTGACAGTCTGAGCAAGTGACAGGGTTGAATACATCACTCTGGATCGAAGATCTATGATAATCAACGGTAAATAATTTAGTGCTCAATGAGTGCTGCCAGTATGTGATAAAAAATTAGGTTTTTTTTATCAATATAAACTGCTAGTATGACAGTCTGAGCAAGTGACTGGGTTGAATATGAATACATCACTCTGGATCAAAGATCTATAATAATCAACGGTTAATAATTTAGTGCTCAATGAGTGCTGCCAGTATGTGATAAAAAATTAGGAAATTTTATTTTTTTTAATTTATTTTATAAATATAAACTGCTAGTATGACAGTCTGAGCAAGTGACTGGGTTGAATACATCACTCTGGATCGAAGATCTATGATAATCAACGGTTAATAATTTAGTGCTCAATGAGTGCTGCTAGTATGTGATAAAACATTTGGATTTTTTTATTTTTTATTAATAAAAACTGCTAGTTTGACAGTCTGAGCAAGTGACAGGGTTGAATACATCACTCTGGATCGAAGATCTATGATAATCAATGGTTAATGGTTAATAATAAAAAAATAGATAAAAATTTTAAAAAATAAAATTTCCTAATTTTTTATCACATACTGGCAGCACTCATTGAGCACTAAATTATTAACCGTTGATTATCATAGATCTTCGATCCAGAGTGATGTATTCAACCCAGTCACTTGCTCAGACTGTCATACTAGCAGTTTATATTGATAAAAATTTAAAAAAAAAATCCTAATTTTTTATCACATACTGGCAGCACTCATTGAGCACTAAATTATTAACCGTTGATTATCATAGATCTTCGATCCAGAGTGATGTATTCAACCCTGTCACTTGCTCAGACTGTCAAACTAGCAGTTTTTATTAATAAAAAATAAAAAAATCCAAATGTTTTATCACATACTAGCAGCACTCATTGAGCACTAAATTATTAACCGTTGATTATCATAGATCTTCGATCCAGAGCGATGTATTCAACCCGGTGCCTTGCTCAAACTATCATACTAGCAGTTTTTATTGTTAAAAAATTAAAAAAAAAAATCTAATTTTTTATCTCATACTGGCAGCACTCATTGAGCACTAAATTATTAACCGTTGATTATCATAGATCTTCGATCCAGAGTGATGTATTCATCCCAGTCACTTGCTCAGACTGTCATACTAGCAGTTTATATTTAAAAAAAAAATTAAAAAAATAAAATTTCCTAATTTTTTATCACATACTGGCAGCACTCATTGAGCACTTAATTATTAACCGTTGATTATCATAGATCTTCGATCCAGAGTGATGTATTCAACCCAGTCACTTGCTCAGACTGTCATACTAGCAGTTTTTATTGATAAAAAATAAAATATTTTTTATTTTCAAAAATTGTCATCAGATACTGCCAGCACTCATTTAGCACTAAATTGCCTATGCATTGCTTAAGTTCTATACCGCGTTAATATAGGCGTTTCAGGGAATACACTGCTAGCTTAATTAAAAGCTGGCAGTGTTCTAATTTTTCGCTAAACTATGAGAGCATTAAATTTCCGGTTTTGGCACTAAATTAGCACTAAATAAGCACTAATTGATGCACTTTATTTGAAACGATTCTGCTCACTTTGCCATGCTAGCTTAACAGACGTGATGGTCTTTCCATTTACAAGAGACTTTGTATCTATTCCGTGTCATACATAAGCGTTTTACATTTTAACATAACACAGTAAGTAAACAACAAGTGTGCCGTTTTTAAAACGAACTCGCAACGCACGTGGCCTAGTAATCAAATGACTAGCTCAAGTACAGCCAGCGACACATCAAGTTACCACAAAATGTTAAAAAATTTCAATAGATTTTGAATCTTATATTAAGCTAGGTAAAGCTTAAAGTCAGAGAAATTGGTATTTGGTAAATTGGACTGTCGCTGTCTGTACGTTGTGTTTATTCATAACCTAGCTGGCTCCTTCATTATACGTAGTGTTTTGTTCACATCGCTGAAGTCACATTTGCAATTAGATGAAAAGAGACAAAATATTGCGAACTATAATTATGTTAAGCATCTTCTTCGTTTTTGGGGTTAAAGAATATTTTGAATCAAAACTAAGTGTAAAGTGCATGTATTTCTTTGAATAAAAAACGCAAGAGTAGAATGGTAGTGATAAAAACTTTATATACCTAGGTTTGTAAATAACTTTTTCCTTTTTTTTTACCATAATCGAAAGTTTCAGTTCAGTTTTGAAGTATAAAAAATGTAGAGTCATTTTCGATAAGTTTCTTCTTTTATTTTTAAAACAAATATTTTATGATGCTTCAAAATAATCGATCAATTTCATTTTACTCAACCACGTGATTCGTACTGATGTTTGTGTTCAAATGTTAATAAAGTTCGTAGTTAGAAAAAATTCCACGCGGACCAGGCAACAGACGGGACTCGAACCTATAATGCGAAGAGATGGCGCTGCCTTGCAGCTTAAGAATGGCTAGAGGAATTTCGACGCGGTCCGTGAGGGCCGCGGTAGCATAATTGGTCAGTGCATTCGCCCGGATTGCGAAGGGTGCGGGTTCGAGTCCCGTCTGCTGCCTGGTCCGCGTGGAATTTTTTCTAGTTATATTTTCTTTAGATTTAAACATCAAGCAGTTACATGCTTTAAAAATAATAAAATTTATAAAAGTTCGTAGTTATTCGATGTGGACCAGTCGCCTTCGCCAATTTATTATTTATCGATTAACAATACGATTACATTATTGTCTTGATGACGCTTGCCAATAGCTTGTCACGTCATTGTGATTGCATTATTTATATCTATCTACATGAAATGATTTAGTTCACGAGTGATTTGATCAGTAATTCTACGCATTTTACGAGCCATGTACACCAATTTCAGTGCATATGATACACAAAAAACAAACAAAAGTGATGTTTAATATTTTTGATGGGTTTGTTGACATTAGTCGTAAACCGGAGTGATGGTATATAATCGCTTGCGCTCGATCTCAGCGGTCTATAGAGTTTCCTCCTGTGATTTAGACGATGTTCAGGCGATTATAAAACTAAGCTAATACCGCTCTAAACTTCTTTCATTTTTAGAGTCGTTGGTGTACAAAGCCCGTAATCATTTGTTATAATAATACTACAGAACAAACACCACAGTTTGTAAAAAGGAAATTCGGATCTTTATTTTGAAATGGAAACCTTATGTTACAGTGAATAAGGTATGCGTTATGTAAGTTTATGAACTCGTAGATACACTGATGAAGTTTTATTTAATTTTCGATCTATGAATATATTTATACATATTGTTTATTAGTATGTATGTGTGTGCAATGTATATAATGTAAAAGTAATATAGAAACTGCCGCCAAATGAATAGTGCGCCTATCATCAGAAATTCATATATTATAAAATGTTTTGGGACATACAATGCTACATTAATTTAATATAGAAAATACTTAGTATGATTTTATAGTATAGGATCACCCTAACTAAATAAAATGACAATGAAAATTCATTCACCATGCTGTACATTATATATTTTCGAAAACAAATAAAAAAATCAAGTCTCGTAGTTCAAATTTTACAATTATACATTTAGAAAACATTGTTATATTATATTAATTATATGTTCGTAACATTGGCTTATGAAGCTATAAATATATTTATGTATTCAAATCTCTACGTATCTTTTTGTTCTTCCAAATACTGGTGATCAATAAAGGATTTCTATTAAGAGAATACACTCTTACCCAATTACTAATAAAGTGTGTTTTAGCATTGTATTATACAGAGGGGCCAATTCTGATGGATACATTACGTCTTTAAGTTTCTAATTTCAAACTTAGTCTTTCGACAGTTGTAACAATTATTATATATCCCTGTTTCATGACAATGAAAGGTGACGACTGCAATATAATTTCAATAAAGTTATAAAGAGAATCGATCCCTTACATTTTATCTACGCCATTCAAACATTGATAAGGCATTTTCGATTGAACATTTTATAACAATAATACAAAGCTTAACACATTAAATTAGCAACACCTTTAGTATTAAGAACGGCCGCATCCTCTGAACACAATTTCAATTCAATACATTCTAACATACTAATCTACATTCATCCAAAAGTCATGTAACAAAATAACGAAGGAAAAGTTAGTTTTTAAAGTACGAGCACATTTATAAGCAGTTCGTGTATGATTTGAAATGGAACTTTGGCTCGCATAATAATATTAATAGTAACTCTTTAATGAGAATACATAATAATAAACAAGTTTAAACTAGTTCGTTACATATATCTGTTGGCGTGGTGCAGGCTTAAGATCTAATCTTTTATCAACAAGAATGGCTCAGTCTTAGCGCACAACTGACACAAGGAATTAGTTGGGACGATAAAAACAAAATATAATTTATAAAACGCACATTACAATTAATTAATCATAATATAATCAGTTAAAAAAATAATAAACTCTAATCGCTGTTAAACAGTGGTCAAATTCGCTAAAATCGAAATAACTTTAGCACCAACAAATTGAAGATTTTGTCGGAGAATAAAATATAGAAACTAACAATTTGGTCACTATCGCACTTTAGCGAAAATGATCCGTGCGGTCATTGGAATAGAAACGTGAATGGCTTCTAACCGCCAATGCATAGTGATGTTAAAAAATAAAAAAACTTGGTTTGCCGTAGAAATACAGGCGAAAATAAGGTGTTTACCGTTTGCTGTGTTAGTTAGTTACTGGAGTTGAGGCGCAGTTTAACCATTACATGAAAAACAAGCCAATAAGAACTCTTTGTTCTTCGAAATAGGGGCGAAACATGCATTTCCGCTTTAGCAAATTGATATTGTAAAAGTGGCCACCGATGATAAAGTAATGTCATATTGACAATAAAATTGCACTATTGATATTATATAGTATGACAATTCGAGTTTGACTCTGAATCACTTGTAATAAAGACATATATTACTAAATACAAACAGGGCTATTATCAACTATGCATTATGATCTTAATACCTACGCATAAGGTTGTAAGAAGGACAAAAGGCTAAAAGTGAAATATTAAAATAAAGAAATTAATCCTTATTGCGTATGTATTAAAGTAGGAGTAGACACATAGCTCAGCCACTGAGCCAGATTTAACATTTTCCAGTATCTAATAACCCGAATGTTTGCGCGAGTTCTTTAATATATAACACACAAACTCAGTAGCATTAAACCTTATTACAATGGCGTGAGAGGTGATTTTCGATGCAGCGGCCGCTGAGCTCTCCTCGTTCGGAGTACACACGAATCTGCGCCTTATAACATAGGAATAGAGTGCACTTACAGTCGCTGGTGTTAGGTTTGTATTGTGCTGCAAGGGCAGCCACATAGCCAGCCTCTTAGCAAAATTTAATATTTTCCAGTAACTAATAAACCGACCTAAATGGAATTGTATTTTATTTAGAAAAGTTTTCGCGAGTTCTTTATTATACACAAACTCAGTAGTATTAAACCTTATTACAATGGTGTGAGAGGTGATTTTCGATGCAGCGGCCGCCGAGCTCGCCTCGTTCGGAGTACAGACGAATCTGCGCCTTATAACAACGGAATAGAGTGGACTCACAGTGGCTATTGGTCGCTGGTGCCGGGTTTCGGGCCAGGCGCGAGTAGTACAGAAATGTCCCACACTTTGATGACTCGGTCTTTGCCCGCGGTGCACATTCGACCGGTGGCTTCGTCTACGTATAACGATGCCACCGCATGCTTCATATCGTGGAAGGATGCTAGCGATTCTCGCCTAAAAGGATATACAAATAATCATGATTATCTCCCTAGTCTATCTATAGGGACGGCCTGTGCCCCCCAGCAGTGGGGACATTAATAGGCTGGTATGATTGGGAGAACCTTAAACTAAATTATATTCGCTTATTTGTTTAATTGGACAGGATTTGAAAATGAAGTACGAACTGTTTGGATCTTATTTAACATAAATATTGGTCCTTCGAGTCCTTCAAACTACAAATTTGGTCCTTCAATCCGGATTTGAACCCGCGACCCATATATTTATTTAAACTATAAAATTGGACAAAAAGGGGACTTAACGCTTAAGGCATACTCTGTCAGTCAATCTTGAGGAATACAAAATTCAAATTCAAATTTCTAGGTCAAAATTATACTCTAATTGTTTCGAAAAAATCAATTAAAAAAATAACCGAGCTCAGGATCGAACCACCGATCATTAGGTATCGACCCCAAGACACTCTTATAGTAAATGATAAAATTACCGATACCTATATTGTGTCAAATACTCTACTTCCGTGCTATTTGCTGACGACTTTATACTTCATTACTACTAAACTAATACTTCATAATTTTTTAACTTAGCAATTTTTTGGATAACCTAAAATTTTGTGGTTCACAGTAAATAAAATATAATCTTCAATTGAATATATGTGATAGATAAACTCCTCCGTGCTTCGGAAGGCACGTTAAGCCGTTGGTCCCGGCTGCATCTGCGGTCGTTAGCACCGACCAAGCCGCACTGGGCCCGTGTGATAAGTCATGGCCCAATCTCCCTATTCCATCTATAGGAAAGGCCTGTGCCCCAGCAGTGGGGACATCAATAGGCTGATGATGATGATGATGATAAACTCACGGCTCATGGCGTAGGGTCTCGTAACAGCCGCTGCACACTCGCTGCGGGAACTCGAATCCCATCACCGGCAGCGGTAAGCGGTGCGCCGAGCAAGTCGCGCATACTGCCGCCCCGCACCATCGGCAATGGTGCTGCCGGAGACCTAATGCCAACCAGGAGGTTTATAATATACACAGCGACGTTATTGTATACCAACGTGGAGATTTGAGGCACGGTTCCCAACTTAGGGGTTTGTCCCCAGATTTAGTGGCTAGAAGTGTTAATACGGACTGGAATTTTTTGGGGGTTCTTTTAGGTGCTTTCAACAAAACTTGCAATGCAATCGAAAAACAAAGCGTCTGTTTTCTTTCAGTTTATTGCGTAGAATGGAACGCACCACGATATGAAACGACTGAACTGACTGTGTGGCGGGTTATATCCTAATGCTGTATGGATTAAAGTTCTTTGCCTATCACCAATGGATAAAATAATAAAACAACAACATAACAATCATGTTCGTTCTTTCATTCGTTCACGTCATACTCACGGCTCACCATTCATTTTTGACATTTTTTCAATAAAATAATTTACTGTAACTAAATAAGTAACGTTTTAATTTATGAGCAACGAAAGAATTTTGGTAATAAGTAGGTACATATAAAATTCTATATTTAGGGGAATTTAAAAAATACTTAGGACAAATTTTTGGTAAGGTTTGGTAACACAAAACGACAGATAAGTGTAGTTCTGCCATTACACAGAAAATGAACTGAACGACACTCGCATAAAATTCACAACTCTCTAGGAATAGAGAGAAAATCAGTAGTAGACCAACTTTGGGCCGCCCAATCGCTAGGTATCTCTCACACTTATCTACTGCCCAAGGGCTGGCTGCAATGAGCAGAGAGGAGTCCCACATACCTTCTACACGCTCCCCCGGTGGTTGAAGGATGCGTAAGGCATTACCCAGACAAAAAAAAGGTAATGTGGATGTAGGATATCTACGTCGGTTCTAGCGACCATGTACCTAAGTAGGTATGTGTATATTAATTTAAGGTTGCTAATCTGACCAACGATATAATGTCATTTAAAGTTACAGGTAGTTAGGCAGGCGGTGAGCCCCACACCAGCGACAATGGTGCTGCCGGAGACCTAACGACGAGCAGGTTATTGTACAATTGTAATGTCATCTAAGTCACAGTGACGATAGAACTCGAACCCTATTACCGGCAGCGGTAAGCGATCACCAACCAGGTTTATAATACCCACAGGCAGAGACTTCGGACTGGACGTTATTCGCATGGAATATGGATGATGACAGGTAAACGAAATTTGTGCACTAAGTCCGTCAGTTAGATTATCAAAAAAATTAGAAACATATTTTTTCTAGTCAATGAGCCAAAATATGACAAAGAACGCGCTAAAATTTTGGGAGTAGGAGTTCGTTACGTCAGTTTTAGGACATCCAAATGTATGTATTATTAAGTAGGGTAGATTTAAAAAACTATTTAATTATCTAAAGACGTCATAACCGCGTAGCCGCCGCCCAGCCACCGCGTATCATATAAACGCGCTCTAAATACTGTCACTCTCTGAGTTGTTTCTTCTCTGCACCGCACTCCTATCTCCCATACGCCGAGAGCGACGCCTCACCCGCTGAGTATCTGTAATAGTGTTAGCTCACCGAGTTGCTTTCTCTGCATCACGGCGCGCACGTTCCATATGATGGGCGCGCGGCACAGCTCACAGAGGTCGGCCTCCTTCCACGTGAGCGTTTCTCTACGTCTCACTCCCATCTCCCATACGCCGAGGGTGCCGCCTCACCCGTTGAGTGTCTGTAATAGTGTTAACTCACCGAGTTGCTTCCTCTCCATCATGGCGCGCGCGTTCCATATGAAGGGCGCGCGGCACAGCTGACAGAGGTCGGCCTCCTACCACGTGGGCGTCTCTCTGCGCCGCACTCCCATCTCCCATACGCCGAGGACACCGCCTCACCCGCTGAGTGTCTGTAATAGTGTTAACTCACCGAGTTGCTTCCTCTCCATCATGGCGCGCACGTTCCATATGAAGGGCGCGCGGCACAGCTGACAGAGGTCGGCCTCCTTCCACGTCTCACGGCGTCTCTCTGCGCCGCACTCCCATCTCCCATACGCCGAGGACACCGCCTCACCCGCTGAGTGTCTGTAATAGTGTTAACTCACCGAGTTGCTTCCTCTCCATCATGGCGCGCACGTTCCATATGAAGGGCGCGCGGCACAGCTGACAGAGGTCGGCCTCCTTCCACGTGGGCGTCTCTCTGCGCCGCACTCCCATCTCCCATACGCCGAGGACACCGCCTCACCCGCTGAGTGTCTGTAATAGTGTTAACTCACCGAGTTGCTTTCTCTCCATCATGGCGCGCACGTTCAATATGAAGGGCGCGCGGCACAGCTGACAGAGGTCGGCCTCCTTCCACGTGGGCGTCTCTCTGCGCCGCACTCCCATCTCCCATACGCCGAGGACACCGCCTCACCCGCTGAGTGTCTATAATAGTGTTAACTCACCGAGTTGCTTCCTCTCCATCATGGCGCGCACGTTCCATATGAAGGGCGCGCGGCACAGCTGACAGAGGTCGGCCTCCTTCCACGTGGGCGTCTCTCTGCGCCGCACTCCCATCTCCCATACGCCGAGGACACCGCCTCACCCGCTGAGTGTCTATAATAGTGTTAACTCACCGAGTTGCTTCCTCTCCATCATGGCGCGCACGTTCCATATGAAGGGCGCGCGGCACAGCTGACAGAGGTCGGCCTCCTTCCACGTGGGCGTCTCTCTGCGCCGCACTCCCATCTCCCATACGCCGAGGGCGCCGTCCTCACCAGCTGACACTAGCCGTTCGCACCCGCCAACGTACCAGAGCCCGGTCACTTTGTTACTGGACAACAACGGAAAACACATTTAAAGCCGATAGAACCATTTGCACCAAACTGAGGAGCTTCCTGAACTCATTCACAAATAGTAAGGTGAATTCGTAGTGTCAAATCGTTTAGCACCAAACTAAATCACAGCCCGGATACTTTGTTACTTCCCGAATAGGTAACAAAAGCTTTTAAAAAAGGGTTTTCTGAACTAAGTCTTAAGTAATCATCATAGTATGTGTATCAGGGGTCTGCAGTAGCTCAGTAAACCTTATACTTTTTTTAGTTTATAATAAAGGCTTCTGACCTTGAATCTTACAGATGTGACAGTATAAATAACAGTACCCTAAAAGTACATACTATCTACATTAGCTAAAATCTACGAGGTGTAGGTAGATTGGGCAGTCTTATAAGAAGAGCATTTTCAAACAATTAAGTCAATTTTATTAATTTCTAGTTGCAATTACCTATGGCCTTGAAGTTCGTACGCTGTGCCCTTCTGCCCACCAATGTCCCAAACAATAATTGTCTGGTCGAAGGAGCCACTAAAGAGTAATTGAGGTATAGGAGCCCAGTTCAACACTCTGACGGAACTGAAAAGTTGAAATAACCACATTAAATCTACTTAACAGGGTCTTCTACAGGTCACCATTACTTAACTTTATGTACTCGTCCTTCAATACTAAAGAATGACCAAGTGCAAGTCCGAATTGACGCGAGAGGTTCCGTACAAGGTTAATAACATTTGCAATACAGCCATTGTGATTTTTAAATAAAACCGTTATATCACGTTTCATGTATGGAGGAAGACCCCATTTATTTATAACTTTTTTTTGTTTGTTTCTATATGACGTAATTTAGTGAATAGTGGAAGCTCAGTAATAGGGTATTGTCGTCTCCATTGGATACAGAACCTTAGGCTGCCTATAACCTGTCTGGAGCGGAGCGAGCATAGGCGCGAAGAAACAGAAAAATATTAACAAATAAAATTGCACAAATTCTCCGCTCCTCTTCAGTGGACAGATTTTGTGCAATTCTATTATAAGTGAATACTTCTCCCTTTCTCCGCTCCGCAGTCTCGCCCCGCTACAGTGGACAGGCAGCCTTAAACTTGGGACAATCGTGAATCGATTCTTATATGATTAAGAGCAACATGCTCTTATGAGGATATATGAATAAATATTAGTTGCGAGTTTTACGGAATAGTCGTTTATATTTAAAACAAACATCCAAAAGAAGCATAATAAGTCTACAAGTAGGATAGGTCACCGTTTATAGGTATGTTAATAAATCATGTAAACAACGACATTAAAACGCACCCAGACACAAAACAGCTGAAGTTCATTGTGTTTAATAGATGTAAATTCTTATATAGGGAGTTTTCTGATTTCTGTAAGTTGTATAAAAAAATATAGTACTAGCTGCCTTCCATGACTTCGTGCGCGTGGAGTTAGTTAGAAATAAAGGTTCACTGCTCGTACCCCGTAGGTAATAGCATGATAATATGTAGCCTATATGTTGACCCGACTTCTTAATATTATTCGTGATAAATTTGAAGTAAATCCATGGAGTACTTTTTGAGTTTATCCTGGACATACATATAGACAAAGAGACAAAAATTCTATAAACTATATTTTTAGTTTCGGTATCGATTGTAGATCACACCTCAAGTATTATTTAAAAAAAATATTCAATGTACAGTTTTGACTTTCCTACCATTTTATTATAAGTATAGATTTTTGTTTGCTTAAAGATTTCGACAATCTGTCATGCAATAAATAATTCAGAATGCTGATAAGAGGATTTGGGCTTACCCTGTATGTCCTTTCAGCGTAGTGACTAGAGTAGCTCCATTATTATCCAGTTTCAGCATCGTTATCTGTCCGCTGTAATCGCCCACGAACGCATACTTCGACTGAGAGTCAAACCTGATATTACGTAGTTCAGGAAATACCTACTTTTATGTAATGCTTTATCTCTGAATGATGTATTATGATCCCATATATAGTAACGAGATTTTGCCTGCGACTTTGTTTGCCTCAACTTAAGACAAGTTATAGACAACATTTCAGTTTCAGTTTCAGTTAATGGCGCTGAAATTTTCAGAAAATATGTAGTGTTGTTTCTGTCTGCCATGCTTCTCTGAACCTAAAATTAAATTTGGCAACAATATATCTTTGTCATTCTCTATACAGAATGAAAAGGAGAAACTGATGTTAAATTTAGTTTTAAGTTTAGAGAATCATCAGATCGCTCAACTGTACATGTTAACCTTGCTAAAAAAAGTTTTATTAAGAAAGCTTATGGTCCACCAGATGATAAAAAGCTACCATAGTCTAAAGACACTTACGTGCGATATCAAAGTACCCTTGCGCCGTTGCTTAACCTAACCCCATAACCTACTCAGTGGCCATGTTATTTTTCTTTCCAACTAATATTGGACACACGAAAGTTTGTTACTCTTTTACACTAAAACGGCTAAACTAGATTTGGATGAAATTTGGCTCATGTGCGGTTAATTTCTTAGCTCGATTGACACATAGTATTCTTGTCATCCTGTAATGATGTTCCTGTGTAATAAAAAAAATGTTATTCGCGGACGAAGTCGCAGGCGCAAGTTAGTATTACTAACACTTGCCTCACACTAACCTGCCTCGAACCCGGGGACTATGAGTAGGGGACACCTTGAAACCCGGCCACAGAGGTTGTCAAAGCATAGACTCAAGGGTTGAAAAGGATACTGCAAAGCGGTGCACCACGCCTCGAACGAGTATCCGCCGATCCTGCGGCCCGTCTCGCTGCAGTGGTAGGAGAACAGCTTGTCCCGACTTACAGAGAGCACCCACTCGCAGCTCAGCGAAAACACGACCGCCGTAACGCGTGCCGTGTGAGCTAAATACTCGCGACTCTATTACAGAGAGAAAAACACTGAATAAGTCACTTAAAAAGTTTTGAAAGCTTGTAGATTTAGTTTGTAACACTTATACGCAATTTTTTTAATGTTTAAAGGGAGACAACCAAGCATATGGCCCAGGTAAGCAGCCACAGTCACCAAATCCCAGAGACACTTGCAATACCATATCCCAGACTCTTGCGATACCATATCCCAGACTCTTGCGATTCCAAAGCTATCGCTGGCGAGGTTGTCTACCCTGACCCCATCCCCTAACCTCTGGACCCCAGGAACTTTACTCATCGACAGAAACAGAACACCACCAAAAGGTAGTGTTATATTACTGTGGTCTTTTGTAAAGTGAAGGTTTCTTCCCCAGAAGGACGCTCCAATTTGGAGCAACAAATCAGCTATGCCTCTCTCTTTAATGTTTTAGTGTCTGTGTGTGTGTGTGTGTACCATGTTTAAATGTACATTATGTAAAGTATAAAAAACATTATATTAGTTACTGGAAACATTTGATAGCTTGTACCCATAAGCAATGTTTTTGAGAACACTTCTAAAGTATAAGGCATAATAAATATAAAAATTGGATAAAATTGATTTGTACTGACATAATTTCAGTTAATAAAAAAAAATTCATTTATTTTCATTCAAATTTTCTCAGAAATAAATGTTACATTCATTTTTAAAGAAAAAAAAAGACAATACATTTTGGTAATTATTTAAATCTTCCACAAGAATTACGATATGAATATGCAAAGCATGCAACAGATTATTTAAACTCAATTATATACCAACATCACTGTAATAAAAAGTGTACTCAACTGTGTGATGAATATAACTGAATGAAATACTAAAATAATAATGAATAATGTGACAAGAGACATAATATTTACAGGCTGCATTACTTACAGGATTAATTCTATTGCAGTCTGTAGCTAATGTGAACTCAGAAACAGTTCCATTCTCTTGTCCGATAAATAATTGGCGTGTCTCTGGTGTGTAGAACATGGAGGTGCACCCAGAGGGCATGTACTGGCAGATACTAGGCCAATACTGCCCTGAGTCACGCTTCAGCCACACTCGTACTGTCCTTTTAAACACAAGCTCTTGTTTACAGAAAAAAATATAACAAAAAGAAAAGATTAATACCTTATTATTATTAAATTGTAGTGTTTTTATTTCTTGAGTGCTTTACTATAAATACAAAAAAATTAATCTCATTTAAAGAAATGAAGATAACTATGTTAAAAGACACTCTCTACAGATTGCTGTAACAAAGTGAATGATATTAATCAACAACAAATACCTAATAAAAAATTGTGGTGTCAAAACAGCACTAGAAATTTCTGCATATAAATGATAAAACAAAAACTTTTTCATCAAATAAAGTAGTCAGAGAGTCGTTTGATCAGATAGGTATAATAATTTCTTTCGTCAAAGTGATATTGAACTACACATGAGTAATTGCGTTTGTTATAATACTGTCAACAAGATTTGTCCAAACATATTGTATAATTTGTAACAGACTGAGGGTACATTTATTAAAGGTTCATTTACATAATAGAATGATCTTAACTTGCAGGTATAATGAACATTATTCAAAATAGGTGAAATAATAAGAATAAATTAGGCTCATTAGTTGATTGAAAGACTTACTTATCATCACAAACGCTAATTACACCATCCTCGCCTGGGATTACTACGGCAGCATTGACGTCGTCCGTACAGCCTTCCAACTTGTTCAACAGCGCCGGTTTTTTCGTTGTAGAGAACCTATCGTTAGGTGTTCTTGGAGCAGGCTTAATTTCCGCAGCCATTTCAAAATTAAATTTTGCAAATAAACACGATTTATCGACACCTCTTTTGAGAAACGGCAAACGTCATAATAATTTTGACATTCCGGTTTCAGGTGTCAACTGGAGCACCAATGTAAACTCGATTATCCAATTTTAATCGATTTCAATATATGATTACTCATGTATTCGTGGTGGTGTAATGTACTCTATTTTATCACATTATTCATGCCGGCACCATTATTCTATTTAGCACTTCACTGAGGAACTTAGGCTTAACTTTCGACAGTTGCATGAGTTGGAGACCCCAGATGCAGGTGCGAAGTCGCAAATTGTTTGCTTCCGCAGTCTCTGTGAAAAGACTGTGGAATTTCCTACCTACCACCAAAATTGCCTTAGCTCAGACACCCTTGCTTCCTATTCTTGATTATGCTGACGTCTGCTATCCAGATCACACGGAGGACCAGTTTGATAAACTTGAGCGACTTCATAACTTCTGTATTTGATTCATATTTGGCCAGCGCAAATATCATCATGTTTCTCAATTTTGTTCACAGCTCAAGTGGCTGCCTATTCGCCATCAATAATTTTAAGAATTTTATTACATATATTAGTTATAAGTAACTAGATGACATAATTCAATAGCAAAGTAGTATATAGAAGAGACTCATCTGTGCTGGCAGCACCCATTCACGAGCATGACATATGAACCAGCCATCGCTTCGCTCTACCATATTTTAGGGAATGTAAAGACCCGTCTCACACGCATTACACCACCAAAGAGATTATTTTAAGAGAGCATGATGATATAACCATATAATATTGTCAAATGTAGTTTTAAACTGCATTTGACAATATTATATATATATCAAAAGTTTTAAATGGATCATGTCGGCATTAAGCCCATTGGTAATTCAAATTTCTACTTCTAATAACTAACTTCTCAAAGGTAGAGATTGTTGAAGGAGACGGCAAACCAAGATAGTGCAACTGCATGGTAAATAATGTTTGTCGTTGACTGAACTTTTGACGTGACAATAGATGTCTGTGTCAGTGAAAATTTTAATTACAAGTGGTTATGGGTCATCTGTAATTTTTAATAAAATATGGAAACTCTAACTTTCAATTACAAGATCGCTCCTCTTGTAGGAAAAGCGAACTGGGACACCTGGAAATATAAGATGCTGATCATTCTGAAAGGCATCCCACATGCCCTAGATGTATTAGAAGGCAGACTCACGTCATCGGTTGACAAAAATGGAAGTGAAGCTACCGGGTCCGCAGCTACGGATTTTTCCAAAGCCGACTCAAGTGCTCTTTTCGTTATCACCAATAATATGACGGAAGAAATGCTCAGAAAGGTTATGAGATACACAACCGCACAAGATATTTGGCTTGAGTTACACAGGATGTTCGACGGAACAAACGAGGATCGAACCTTTCAACTTTGTATGAGTTTCTTCGGTATGAAAAGAGATAAAGCTGATGACGCAGCTACTCATCTATCAAAGCTGAAGAATATATGGACTTCTCTCAACAAAGAGCTGGGTGATGGCAAGAAGTTACCAGATCTACTTCTCATATGCAAAACACTCGACACTTTAGGAGAAGAATACAGCTCATTCAAAAGTGGATGGCTAATGTGCCCGACGTCCGAACGAACCGTGGAAAACTTAACCAATCGCCTGTGTGTTTTCGAAAGGAACTTGATGGTGTCCACCGAGCCACCGGAGCAAGAAGCTTTACCAGCGATGAACACACATAGTGGGACAAACAAGAAGCGAAATAACCGCAAATGGTGCAAATACTGCTCGACCAAAGGCCATTGCGTCAAGGCCTGTCCTAAGTGGATTCAGGATGGAAAACCCCCGAAAAGCAGTAACCCACCTTCCTCTTCGTCGTTCCGCAAGCAAGAGTCTCAAGTTACGGAAGTCCTGACATCAGAACATGGTGAAGTATTTGTGAATACACCAGATACAGTGAACTGGTTTGTTGATAACGGTGCGACCTGCCACGTTACCAATCGCAGCGATCTATTCCAGACCTTCCAACCATTCGACGAAACGCACATGATCTCCACAGCTAATGGAAATGCACTGCAAGCCAAAGGCAAAGGAAACATCAGCCTCAAATCGAAGGTACGAGGAAAAGTCTACGAAATCACCCTGTCGGACGTGTGGTACGTGCCACAAATCACAAAGAACCTCTTCTCTGTCCTCGCTGCTCATGACTGCAACTCAACAACGAAGTTCAAGTCTACACCAACGCGCTGCTCCATGTCGATGCGTGGTATAGTGAAGCTGATAGGTGTACGCAGCATCAGCGGTGGCTTATACAAGCTGAACGTAGAAAGTGTGATACCCAAAAGAAATTTGGAAGTATATCTTACCCTTACACGGACTCAACTGTATCATGAACGTTTTGTTCACCAAAACAAACGTCATGTTCGACAATTTGTGAAACAGGAGTTGGGAATAAATCTTCCTCAAGATGAAACGGTATGTGAAAGCTGCATACTGGGCAAATCCCATCGTCTGAAGTTTGGCACGCGACCTCGAGCCTCAAGACCAGGAGAGCTCGTACACAGCGACGTATGTGGACCGTTCCCCAATTCATTCACAAACTTGCGATACTTCGTGCTGTTTAAAGATGACTTCACTGGCTATCGATATGTGTACTTCTTGAAAGCCAAATCGGAAGTAAAACAAAAGTTGAAAGATTTCATCGCCGAAGCACGAAACTCTGGACGTCCGATCGAAACGCTTCTGAGCGATAATGGCGGCGAATTTGATAATCAAGATGTGCGCGAGGTCCTTGCCACTCATGGAATGAAACAGCGCTTAACAATGCCATACACCCCAGAACAAAATGGATGCGCCGAGAGAGACAACAGGACTCTGGTTGAGGCCGCCAGGACTGTCATGCAAAGCGGAGCTTTCGAGCAGAAGCTATGGGCTGAGTTAGTCAATGCGGCTGCCTACGTTCTCAACCGAACTGGACCATCTCGAGTGGAGAACAAAGCACCCTATGAACTATGGCATGGAAAGAAACCGAAAATAGCACATTTACGAATCTTGGGCTGCACAGCCTACGTCCATGTCCCCAAGCAGAAACGAAAGAAGCTTTCCCCTAAAGCCCTCAAAGGAAGACTAGTCGGATACGATTTAGATGATGGCTATCGTATTTGGTGCGATGACAACAAATTGATGAGATCGCGAGACGTAATCTTCGACGAGAAACCGCTTGACCGAACTCAATGCGACCAAGTTGTACCTACGACAACGAAAAAGGAAACACCGTTCAACGAATTGGAGTTGAAAGTAACCTTTAATGAAGAGCGCAAAGATGTTCATCAAGATCCAATCTCGAACCCAAGCCATCAAAATAAGCAATCAGAAACTGATGTGCAGAATCAAGGATGTGCACCACAACTGCAGGAAGACAGATACTCTTATCCTGACCGGGATATTCACTCCGCTGGTGAAGAGTCCAGACCATCTAGCCCCACCGCTGGTGTACAATCTAGACCACCCAGCCCCGATGATGGTGAACAGTCAAGACCAACGACACCCAATGTAACGCGGTACGATACAAATCTAGAAGATTCATCTGATTCCGAAGATGACTCACCGGAACTGAGATATAATCTACGAGATAGAAGCACCATTCGACACCCACAGAGATACAGAGACTGTTATGCACTTTCCGACGACGAAGCTGAACCCACTACGTTAAAGGAGGCTATGAGGAGCCCGTATAAAGACGAGTGGATAAAAGCAATGCTAATAGAGATAGATTCTTTGAAAGAGAACAATACGTGGTCGCTTCAAGAATTACCTCAAGGCAGAAAGGCCATACCTTGCAAATGGATTTTCAAGATAAAGCGAAACCCGGATGGCTCAATAGAGAAATACAAAGCACGTTTGGTTGCAAAAGGATTCAAACAACGCAAAGGAGTTGACTACCAGGAAACCTACAGTCCTGTAGCCAGATTTGCAACCATTCGCTCTTTACTAAGCGTTGCTGCTAGTGAGAAGATGTACCTATCCCAATTCGACGTCACTACAGCGTTCCTATACGGTGAACTGGAAGAGGAGCTTTACATGCAGCAACCCGAGGGGTTTCACGATGGCTCTACTCGTGTATGTCATCTGAACCGAAGTTTATACGGCCTGAAGCAGGCGCCCCGCTGTTGGAATCATCGTTTCCACAAAGTACTAATTGAACTCGAATTCACACACAGTACTGCAGATCCATGTCTATACACAAAGGAAGTAGGGGGGAAGAAGATCTTACTTACCTTATATGTTGACGATGGACTAATCGCCTTTTCAGACAAAAAGCTTTGTGAAGAATTTATCGAGAGCCTGAAATGTAAATTAAAAATTACTACGAAGCCCGCCTCGTACTACTTGGGAATAGAAATCAATCAACGCAAGGACGGCACGATTGAAATCAACCAAGAAGCGTACACCAAGAAGGTACTCGAACGCTTCAATATGGCGAAAAGTAATCCTGTCTCAACACCTATTGACACTGCAGAGAAGTCGCCTGCAACACAATTAGATGAAGAGAAAGGAGATAAAGAGGAGATTAACTTTCCCTATCGCGAAGCCGTTGGTGCATTAGCATATCTTATGGTCGCAACCCGTCCTGACATCGCCTATGCTGTGGGAGTAGTGTCTCGCAACTTAGAGAAGCCGACTAGAGGTGACTGGTGCAGAGTCAAACGTATACTACGTTACCTAAAGGGAACTACATCCTTAGGGATACAGTATAGACCAAAGACCATACTACAGCCAGAACTAGAAGGATTTAGCGACGCCGATTACGGTGGTGATGCGACTACCGGACGATCAACCACTGGAGTCATATGCAGATATGCTGGAGGACCAGTGTCATGGATCAGCAAGCGACAAGCGTCAGCAGCCTTGTCAACTACAGAAGCAGAACTTGTTGCAGCTAGCGAAGGTTCCAGAGAACTTGTCTGGCTGATCAGAATCTTCGAAGAACTAACGATGAAGAAGAGTGTGCCAAATCTTCACGTTGATAACGAAGCAGCTGTACGATTGGCACACAACCCCGAGTTCCATAAAAGAACGAAGCACATTCGTATCCGACATTTCTATGTGCGAGAACTTGTGTCTGAAGGAACCATACATGTCAAGAGAATTGGAACAACGAACCAACTCGCAGACATCATGACTAAAGGACTGCCGAAGCCTACCTTTGTGAAAATGAAGTCTGCACTAGCCTTGTTTTAGAGGGCGTGTTGAAGGAGACGGCAAACCAAGATAGTGCAACTGCATGGTAAATAATGTTTGTCGTTGACTGAACTTTTGACGTGACAATAGATGTCTGTGTCAGTGAAAATTTTAATTACAAGTGAGATATGTATAAAAGTAGTAAAAACGCATTTTGTTTAGTAGTGTTTTATTTAACTTATGAATGGCATTCGATTAAACATAAGAAATAGATATACCTAACTGTACTTTATCCTAAATATATAAAAATCCATTTTTGAATCTCAGCTTCGCTCCGCTGTGAATTAATAATCGATAGTTGAAAGTAGACAACAGAATAGACTACCAGTACGTTCCGTTTTATGTACAGTTGATAAGAAATTGCAATTGATAACACAAATAATAGGATAATTTAGTAAATAAATGAAAGGACAATGGGCAAAACACACCCAGCTTCGCCAACAATGTAATTAGTATGAATCGATAGATCTATGAAAATCTAGCCTCTTTTATTATGACACTGTAAAAAAATATCCCGGTAGTCAAAAGACATGACACCGTATAAAATATCCTGGTAGTCAAAAGATTTGACACATGGGCATATTTAAATAGCTAAATAAATTATTTTTATAGTCCCTTCATTTTATATTATTCGAAACCATAATAATATGCCATATCGAACTATACAACCAGATATACGAAAAAGCCTGCCGACCATCCTACACTTGCACTTACTGAGCCACCACAACACGCTTTGGAAATTGGAACACGATTATCGGTTTTGTCAATTAGTATGGATGAACTGGAATCATGTTTTCTCTGAAGCGTGGACAAGTTTGTGTGATTTGTGGTCGCTCCGTTTTACATAGATGACAATTTACTACAACGAACAGACTATTTGAAGAAAACCCGAACCATAATATAAATACTACTCTTTGCCCGAACCCATGCGGGGATTTTTGGATTTATTTTAGCGTGGCAGAATAACATAAGGGGGCACCCTTGTAACTCGTGAAGTACTCCCGTAATACTTGAGCCCTTTGTGTACTGTCGAACTAACTAACTAAATTAATTCCCTTGTTTTATTAATGTTCATTCGTTATAGTACTTCTACCTATTATTTAACCTACAATAACTAAATACCCCCGGGATGGAATTTGATGCGCTTTGGCACAGATCTGATGATCATGACTATAATACCTTTCAAACAAATGTAGTTTAAGCCGTGGCGGACGTGGGTGCAGCGTCCATACATTTTTACCCAATGTCCTTTATAATTTTTTATTTTAAGAATTTTACTCATAGATTTATAAATCTAAAGATTTTTTTTCTACAAAGAATATCGAATACCGGAATACCGAATAGCGGAAGGTGCAGGTTCGAATCCCGCCTGTCTGCTTGATTACTTGCTCACTCACACTAATGGCTGCCCGAACCTAAGGACTATTGAACTATTATTACATGGAATTTTAATCAGTAAAATTTTCTTTGGATTATAAAAAATACTATTTCGATCCATTACCGATTCCATAAAATTAAAACTTTTATGGAAAATGTTGTGTTAACCTTATTCGCTTTAAACCTTTTTTATTTTTAATTTGACATCACAACACAGAAACTGGAAAAATGTTTACTTAAATTGCCAAATGGTCGCGTCGTAGATCTTATTCAAACATAACGGAAATAGTTACCCAACAACCAAGCAACAAGTGTGAGATTTTAAATTATTTATTTTTTAGTATGTACTAGGAACTAGTAATGTACGATATCAATAACTTTTACCATAATAATATGTACGACCAATGTTTGAGATAGCCCCTTGTGTGAGATCACAGGCCAGGTACCTGTGGTAGAAGTATCTCATGTTGTCCCCCTTGTGATGCTGTGTCACCCTGCCGAGAATTGAGCCATTTATTGTTCCGATTTTTTATTTATTTTTTACGTTACATAAAATGAATGTGCTGGTGTTGAATGCTCCGCTCTCTCCAAACCAATACTTAGGTAAACTTAGGTCATGCACTACCAATAAACTTACTTACCTACTTAGACACATACTTGTGTGTACATAATATACTAGGTATAGTAATAAATAAATTTTTTTTAAACACACCAATTAGCCTAGCCCCACAGTAAGCACTGTAAGGTTTGTGTTATGGGATATGACCCTAGTCATGGATAAAATACATATATTGTACATATATAAGTATATTTTTATAGAAATACATACTAAACATCCATGACGCAACAGAGTACAAATGCTCATATTCATCACACAAACATCTGCCCCCACCGGGATTGGAATCCGGGACCCCTCGAGTCAGCGACACCATGAAACCCGGCGTACAAACAACTAGGCCACGGAGGTCGTCAAATATGTATAAAATATAATAGACTTCCTATTATACTCTAGGTATATACCTACTTGAGATTTGCGCCTGGTCTGGGTGGATCCACATAAGCTTCAATCAGATACAATACAACATACAAGCACTTCTGACTTTGAAGACCTCTGTTGACGTGTAGCTTGTACGGTCAGCCATACATCAAATGTATAATCCTATATCTATGAACATAAAGCTCAAAATCAGTTAAGGATATTTGTCGGTTTTGGGCATTTTGGGTAACCTGTGGCTGTCTGGTCTGTATACTGCTCAGCATCTGTGGTTCCGCATTCATTCCTAGACCAATCCAATGTCTTTTCTACATTAAAAAAATCTTCACTGTTCCTGAATTCGAGGGATGAATAAAATAACGCACAGTAACGAATGCCTATGTATGGCATCTGCCTTCTGCCCGTCCTCACAGCTCTTGCAGCCGCCTCTTGTAGTCTGCCACCCCACCCCAGGCCATGGCAACTTTTGACCCTAAGGTTATTACGCCCCTAACTATACTGGCTTATATTTAGAAATGTAGTTAATTATTTCTTTACTGTTCCCTGGTAAGTGCCAAAAGATGGCTAAAACCGTGTCTCGTGAACTCTCGTGGTACTGCGTACTTATTTAATAAAACTGGGATACCTATTTTTTTGTTTTATAGTCCATAGAATACTAGCATCATGTGATTCTTTTGATTAAAATTTTCAGATATATCTGGTTTTTATCCCTGACCTTCTTCGACATTGGAGTAGCGACGTTAATGTAGATGTATTTATTATTACCGCAGCACCTTACGCAAACATATGGACGGTGTTGCTGTGCTAAATATTTTCCATTAAATTAAGGCATTACGTAACTCTAACTCAAACAAAAAAAATGCTTCAGCCTATACAAAACTCTCGAATTTCTCCTATATTTCCAACCTTTGCTGCTGTTTTTAAAGTCCAAAATCGATAGAAGATTTTTGACATGTTGTGGTGGTGTTCTAAGTCATTGTATCTACATTCATCCCTATTTTTTTAATATAAATTCCTTTCGTATTAAAGATACCTACGTAACAATGGAATGTTAATACGTAACAGTAGCAACGAATTCAAATGGAATAATGTAAAACGTACAAGAACAGCAAATTGAAAAGGATGACAATAAATATACAAGTTCTATTTATCTTATGCTACTTCTTCACATGACTATTCATGTTTTTTGTTTGCAATTTTCACAGCAGTCAATTTAATATATTATATTACATATTTTATATGGTACGCCATAGGTATTTTACGCCATAAGCACGCTCTATAGGAAATAAAAAGGAGAGACTACGGCCGAAGTAACAAATAGCATATACGAATAACAATGTAATGTACCAGAACTACTTCTCACTCACTTAATATGCTATGTGAGTAAACGATTGATTGAACGGTAAAAATATTACACTCTTTTCTGGAAGTCATGTAAAGAGAAGCGCTGCGCTGCCCGTTATAACCTTATTGAACTGAATAAGTTTTATTATTTAAATATTACCGCTCTATCTGTTTTGCAAGTTGCAACATCATTCACACAGAGTGTGACTAGCTTCAGAAAAAACTTCAAATCAAAGGGTAATTTTCAGTTTACTTTGGCATCATTCTGTAGCTGGTGGTGATAAGGAAAGGAAGGGAGCCCCCCTCTGCCCTCTTGTCTCAGTTGGTGTTCGTGAAATCGAAAGAAACACCTTGTTTCTTCCAATAAGCAGTGTCAGAAACAGAAAATATTACAATGTCGCAAGCATTAAAAGGATTGACCACCCAACTCTTGAAAAATAATGTGGATGCTATCAACGTCGGCCTTCGGGCTAGCAGGTAACTATTTTAAAACATCTGCCTGTAATTGCTCATCGCGAAACCGGCGGTTTTTGGTTATTTTACGTAACGTGTTTTATGCACAGAACTCTTAAATTCTTACTTACTCTTATTAGAATAATTTATAGGTTGAATATAATATTGTTTTTCATAGGAATAAAATCATTTCTTATGTAGAATATACTTGAAATATAAAACCATCTGAGATTACCAATTTCACCAAATATTTTAGTTCTTTGTGATTTATTTCTATTGAGAATTCATAATAATTTAACCACAATATTGATGAAACTAATATTCTAAGTATTTTATGTATCAACAACTGTTACTTATTATATTTATTAATTATACGATGAAATGTTCAAATGTTGGTATAGGATGCAAACATTTTCAGCAAAACCACGTACCTACTATAAATAAATTCAGGCGGTAGAGTTTTTGTATGTTAAATTATTACTTGTTTCTGTTGTCCATGGTTTATGCTCAAGAAGTTTGCCAGGGTTTACCTTTAGTTAAACAGAATAATCTGTAAACTTACCTTAACTTGTACTAAAACTTATTCCACACATTACAGTACCTGGTGGAGCAATGTGAATATGGGCCCTCCAGATGTGATCCTTGGCATCACAGAGGCATACAAAAGAGACACAGACGCAAAGAAGGTCAACCTCGGTGTAGGAGCTTACAGAGATGATGAAGGCAAGCCTTTTATTCTTCCGTCAGTCCGAAAGGTAAATTATTAAATTTAATTATATTTTTATATACATTTATTTTCTTTTTTAATGATCTTTTTTTGTTAATAATAACTTGCAATTAACCCATCCACTGTCTCTTCAGAAGCCTGTGTTGATATCTGAATATCTTAATATATATATTAATTATGAATCACATTGTTTGTACAGGATGGACTCCTAAACTACTTAACCGATTTTAATCAAATTTGCACACTGTGTGCAGTTTCTTCCAACTTGAAAGATAGGATAGCTTATATCTTAATTTAAAGTTGCAGTGATGTCGATTCTGGCATGATTCTCTAAAGCTAAACTTAAATTTGACAACAGTGCATCCTTCTCTATACAGAATGTAAATATGAGACTGACCTTAATTTTAGTTTTAAGTTCAGAGAATCACGCTAGAATTGACACCATTATTGTCTTATTACAAATTTTATTCTTCTTTGCAGTACGAAGTTCACCAATTTAGGTAGTTAAATACTATAATTTAATTACAACACTTGATTACAGAGTATTAATAGAAATAAATTCTGGTCAGTTCATTCCTTTAGACTTAAACTAAACAAAGCTTTTGCAATGCTGCTGGATGCTAAATAACAGATATGATATATAACCAACTATGTCATGGGAACAGATACATTTATTTATACAATAAATAATTGCCCCTACCTGAATTGAACCCAGGACCATTAGAGCAGAAAGCAGTACTGCTGCCACTGCACCTAAGTATATTGTCTTTTTCATTACTGTATTAATTTTTCTGCTTGGCTTAATGGTTATATGGTAAAGAATTCCTTATAGCATTTAACATGTTATTTGTTGTAGCAATTAAGAGTGAATAAATAAATAATGCAAGAAAGATGTCAATACAACAATCAAAATACTAAAACTTAAATATGTAATTAAAAATTACAAAATCTTCTACTATTTATTACTGGTATCAAATCTTCAGTGTTTAATTATCTTAGCTGCATCAGAATTTGTTATAAAAAAGTAATTTAATTTATGGTACAGGCGGAAGAAAACCTGCACTGCAAGATGCTGAACCATGAATATGCACCCATCGGAGGTGAAGCTGGCTACACAGATTTAGTTGCTAAGCTCGCTTTTGGTGACGACAGCCCTGTTTTAAAGGAAAAGTCAAACTGCACTGTACAGGTAAATATTTGCTAGGGGAAAATACATATTCTCTAAAAATAACAAATTTGATTATAAAAAGTTACAACAGTATGTACCATTTAGTATAATAATAATAATAAAACCCTATAATCAAGTTTTAGGGGGATGGAGTTGCTTGCGTCCGTAGGATTTTCCATCTATTCCTAGAAACTCCCTACACGTGTCCCCTGGGTGGTGCTAAACAAGCAACAACGCCGAGCCACAGGCGGCGGTCAAATATCCTGTTCTTGGCTCCCACAAGCCTAAAGGAACTAAATCACCTCTAAAAAGTGTGGCTCCGATGCCTTGGGAAAGTATCGGGAGTATCTCCCATCCACTCTAATGAAATGTCGTTTAATGAGAATGTGATGTCATGCAACCCGGCTGACCCCCGGCGCTCGCAGGTACCCGGACCTGCGAGTGAGAAATTGACTACCGAAGACTGTTCAGGTGTGAGCATCCAGGCTCCTGTTTCAGTGAATGTTACTGGAAGCAAAAAGAATCTTGTTCAACAAGCCTTTCATCCTAGCCTATTCATAACGCGACCTAGGTCTGCTTCAACAGGTAGTTATCCTGTAATTCCAACAGCAAGCAGTGAAAAACAAATCGATCAAGACACACAACCCATAGGTTCTGAAAAGAATGGTCCTCCACCATGGCAGAGAGTGCCCATCTCCAGAAATAAAAAAAGAAAATTAACTACTAGTCCTACATCTCTGCGAGAAACTACAGAAACATCGAACCGCTTCGCCGAACTACCAATAGATTTGACAGAAGAGAAACCAATAAAACCAAATAAACCACCTCCTATTGTCCTGTATGGTGTGGAAGATCTGAGGAAATTAACTGAACTTCTTGAAACTGTTGCGGCAAAAAGTCAATTCACTTATAAGATTATAAATAAAAACCAGCTCAGAATAAGCAGCGTTGACATAGAAGTGTATAAAAACCTTATCAGTATTGTTAGAGAGAATGGTTTGGTGGGACATACTTTCAACCGGAAAGATAAGAGAGGGTGTAGAATAGTTATTAAAAATTTACACCCATCCACACCACTACACATAATTAAAGAGGAAATAGAAGCAACGGGAAATAAAGTTTTAGGTGAAATCATAAACGCAAAATATGGCCCTGAAAAGAAATCTACTTCAACTTTCTTTGTCAATCTTGCACCTAATCCCCATAACAAGAACATAAAAGATTTGAAATTCATATACCACCAGTCAGTCATAATCGAAGATCCAAAGAAAAGAAAGACTCTGGTTCAGTGTCAGAGGTGCCAACAATATGGACACACTAAAAACTACTGCATGCGACCATATAGATGTGTGAAATGTGGTCAATCTCATAAAACGGCAGAATGCCCAAAACATGACCGAAGCTCCCCTGCGCAATGTGCTCTGTGCGACGGCCCTCATCCAGCAAACTACAAAGGGTGTGAAGTTTATAAAGAGATCTTGGAAAGAAGATTTAAAAATACAACGAAAAGGATGAATTTAAACCATAACAGACTCACAAAACCAGATAGTTCAATTTCTGAGAATAAAGATACAAAGGACAATAAACGGAAACAAACTTATGCAGAAACAATAAAACAGAACACTCAGGAGAGCAATACTGGTGAAAATGTAACCCATGATCGTAGTGCAATTCAAGGACTTACGCTAGAGCAAATTCTTTTAAAACAAAATGAAAAATTTGATACAATCCTACAACAAATGAGTACCCTAATGAATCTCATAGTTAAACTTGTTGACAAACTATCAAAATGATTGCACTACGGCTAGCCACCTGGAACATAAATGGTCTCGCTCCGAACAAACAAGAATTAGAACTACTAATGTCGGAACATAAGCTAGACATTCTGCTTATCTCTGAAGCCCACTGCACTAGTAGAACCTCAGTGAGATTTTCTGATCATTTTTGCTATGTTACCGAACACCCGGATGGTACTGCTCATGCTGGCACAGCACTCCTGATAAAGAAGTCAATAAAACATCACCGTATGCCTGACTATAAAACTGAACACATACAGGCTACTACTGTAGCCATTGAAGACAAAAATGGTAACCTTGTTGTCTCTGCTGTTTACTGTCCTCCCAAACATAAAATAAGCGAAACCTTGTTTTCTGAGTTTTTCCAGTCGCTGGGCAATCGATATATCGCAGGTGGGGACTGGAATGCTAAACACACTGACTGGGGCGCCAGACTAACTACTACCCGCGGGAGGCAATTAAAACTTAGTATTGTCCATAATAACCTTAGTGCTGTTTCCACTTCTGAACCAACATACTGGCCTACCGATAGTAATAAATTACCTGATCTTTTGGATTTCTTCGTGGTCAAGGGGCTCTCAAGACTTTACTTAAAACCGGAATCTTGCTCGGACAGCTCCTCAGACCATACACCAGTAATCTTAACAGTTAGCACAAAAATCATTGAATCTATGAAGCCAGAAACACTGCACAATAAATATACTGATTGGACTTCGTTTAAAGAATACATTGAAGAACACATACAAATGAAAATGGCTCTCAAAACCTCTGACGACCTAGATAATGCTACTAAACACATAACCTCTTTAATACAGCAAGCATGTTGGGTTAATACTCCCTCAATTAGCAGCAGCGAAAAAGTCACAAACTATCCGCTACAGATAAAACTAGCAATACTTGAAAAGCGTAGACTGCGTAGAGTATGGCATCAAAGTCGAATCGGAGAGGACAAGGCTAAACTCAACAAAGCATGTAGTGAACTAAAAGACATGTTACAAGCTTGGCATGAGGACACCTTAAAAATACAACTGGAGTCACTAACGGGAACAAGCGATACAGATTATTCGTTGTGGAAATTCACGAGGAACTATGACAGACCTCAAACCGCGAAACCTGCCATAAAACGACGTGACGGATGGGCTAGGACCGCAAAAGAAAAGGCAGACACGTTTGCTGAGCATCTAGCTAATATCTTCTGTCCAAACGATATGGTTATACAGAAACACGAAGATCAGGTCGATACCATCCTAAAACAAGATTATCAAATGGCTTTGCCACCAAAACCTGTTACAGTCAAAGAGGTATGGAGGGTGTCGTTGGAATTGAAAGAAAAAAAAGCACCTGGATTTGATCTGATCACTAAAGACGTTATTAGGCAACTTCCTAAGAAAGCTATAGTCTTCTTAACAACTCTTTATAACGGAATACTTAGGGTGCAGTACTTTCCGAGGCTGTGGAAGGTATCCCAAATAATATTGGTGCATAAGGATGGCAAACCACCAAGTGAAGTCGGCTCATACCGACCCATCAGCTTACTGCCGATCCTATCAAAGATCTTCGAAAAACTGTTGCTTCGCAGAATACTTCCAATACTCAAAGAAAATAATGTTATACCGAGTCATCAATTTGGGTTTAGACAGGAACACTCCACTATAGAACAAGTGCATAGAGTTCACGAGAGAATTAGAAAGACTCTCGAGGAAAAGGAATATTGCTCAGCAGTGTTCTTGGATGTTCAGCAGGCATTCGATAGGGTCTGGCATAAGGGACTGCTATGCAAACTAAAATGTAGCCTACCACATAGTTATCACCAAATCTTCGAATCTTATATTAATGAACGCATATTCCAAGTTAAAGAATCAGGAGAAACATCAAATTTTTATGAAATATGTGCTGGAGTACCACAGGGTTCAGTCCTCGGACCGGTTACTTACCTGTAATGCAAAATGTAACAACTGCAACATTTGCGGATGACACTGCCATACTTGCAAGTCATAAAAACCCCATTATTGCAACACAACTTTTACAACAGGGATTGGATAAGATTACGAAATGGTTGCAAAAATGGAGAATAAGAGCCAGTTCGTCAAAATCAGTTCACGTCACATTCACACTGAAACAAGGCAATTGTCCTCCAGTACAGTTAGAAAATGTCACTCTTCCTCATCAAAACTGTATACGCTACTTAGGGCTACACATAGATAGGCGTCTTACATGGAAAGAACACATTAAGAAAAAAAGAGAGGAACTTAACATCCGCTACAAGCGACTTTTGTGGCTATTGGGCCGCAACAGCAAATTGTCAATAGATAACAAGTTACTGATATATAAAACTATCCTTAGACCGCAGTGGACCTATGGCATACAACTCTGGGGTACTGCTAGCAATTCCAACATCCTTTGCATTCAAAGAGCCCAAAACATGATCCTTCGAACTATTAGCGATGCGCCATGGTATATCACTAATAATGAAATTCATGAACACCTGGAAATGTCAACAGTCAAGGAAGAAATAACCATTGCGACTCAGAAATACCGGGCTAGGCTGGAGACTCACCCGAACATCCTAGCAACACAACTCATGACTCGGAGTTATAACAAACGACTCAAAAGGAAAGACGTCCTCTAAAGAGAATTAAGGAGGAGATGTCCTTACTGAAGGGCACACTCTGACACCCCAATATTCATCCAACACATTTGCTTATAGTGGAATGCACTGATCGCAAATTACAATTAATAAAAAAAAAAAAAAAAAAAAAAATAATCAAGTTTTTTTCTTACATATTTTTATATATTAATTTTTGTCTATTTTTGATAATTTTGCACTTCATCATAGGCCTTCTTCTATGCCTTCGGAATTGTTATACATTTTACTTTTATTGGCTAAGTAAAATACTATCTTCTACTACAAATCATTTGATAAAATAGCTTTTAATTTTCAGACATTATCTGGCACTGGCGCTTTACGTCTCGGATTAGAGTTCATCACCAAACACTATGCCCAAAGTAAGGAGGTTTGGATGCCAGCTCCCACTTGGGGCAACCACCCCCAGATCTGTAATACCCTCAACCTTCCACACAAACAGTACCGTTACTACGACAAGAAGACCCATGGCTTCGATCTATGTGGTGCACTAGAAGATATTTGCGTAAGTTAATTTTTAAATTTTGTTTGTGATTCCTGCTATTGCCTTGTTTTTTACGAGTCCTTGGTTGAATAGCAATCTAAACGAGTTAATCACAATAATGTCAGTGACCACGAAAGCTTAAAACTGTATAAAAGTTTTTTCTTAATAATATTTGAATGAAAAGAGCATGAGCATGTTAAAATGTTTATTTATGAAAAAGAAAATGTTGAGATTGGTATCTTATCAATAATAATTATTGGAGCAGTACTACAGCTGACCACAAAAACAAAATTGGAAACGGGACAGACATTATGAATTTTATTATTATGATTGACCTGTGATTGAGAAGGTCAATGTTCTGTGCTGTTTTGTGACCTGGGCTGGGGCATTCCCGTACAAGATTGTTAGGTTTAGTATTTCATATCCTTTGAAATGGACTTTTAGTTTTTTTTTATGAGAATAAATTTTTTAAACCTTTATCCTAATTTGCTTGTGTAAGCATAATTTAGGTCACTTAAAGTAAAATATAGTAATATGATAGGAAAATATAACAAGGATTATTAAAATAACTATTTCACATTATTAAAAAACATTATATTAATTAACATCAAGGTAAATACTTTAATATATTGGCAGGTGTTCAGTTAGCTTAATTTTTCTGGGTTAACCATTTAAGCAAACTAATCAAATATTTTTTAATATAACCAGACATACACTTGGACGTGTGCTTATCGTTAAATTACGTCAGACGATACAACTGATGTAATAGATAGGTAGTGTATAACATACAATTTGATAGATACAAGATGTTTGTCCGTTATTACAGAAGTACATCAATTTATAGATAACAGGAATATTTTCCACTAATATGTCACCTTGTCGTATTTTTGAAACACTATAATTGTACTTCTTAAAAATACATAAACAATATATAATTACTAATACGATAATGGTGACGGAAAGTGTAAAATGGAAGATATATTTTGGCATAATGAGTTAAGGAAACAGAAGCAGTAAGAATCCAGAATTGTATCAGATAACTATCACAAAGATTTTCAGAATTGTTATATACAGGGTTAATTTAAAAACACCCTCTTTGGGGGTGATTCCACCCATCAACAGGAACAACTTTTATTATGCGACCAACGCTGAAATCGCGAAAAAAAACCTGCTGTTTGCATCAGCTAATTGACCGAAATGTATGAAACTGCTGATTTTGTATTCGCGATTTCAGGGTTGGTCCCATATTAAAAGTTGTTCCTGTTAATGGGTAGAATCACCCCCTAAGAGTTTGTTGGTGTTTTAAAATTAACCCTGTATGTGGCAACAATTTGATCAACATCATTTGCCTGCCTTGTCTGATTTGAACCAGTTGTTATCTCAACATTCAGTTTTTCATGTGGATCAGATTCACTTTCTTCTTAAGAAAATTTTACTAAAAATATTCACGCCAGGCAGTAGACGGGACTCAAATTCTCGCACCCTCCACTATCCTGGAGGATGCACTGACCAGTTATGCTACCGCGCCCCTGGCCGTGTCGAATTTCTTCTCGTTTGTCTTAGGCCCGTATTACAGAATGACAAAACTAATTGAGTACAGTTAGAAAGGGATATCGCTATATAGCGACATCCCTTTCTAACTATGCTCAAGACTAGATCAATCACTGAGAATCTTTCTATAATACGGACCTTAGACTGCAAGACGCCGTCTTCCTTTGTGTCTCCATTTTCGCATTGTAGGCAAACATCTAGCAGTTAAATGCTTAAAAAATAAAACTTTAGTATTTTCTTCTTTCTTTGGTCTACTTTTTACAGTAAATTTTGGGAAGCGATTTTATCTATTATTTTATCACTGCTCAGCAAACATCTCTTAGATAATCTACTTGTTGCGTGTTTGTAGAAGGTAAAGTTAAACTTGGATTTTTAAGAATTTAACTGCTAAATGTTTAAATCTAAAGAAAATTATAGATACTAGAAAAAAAACCAAAAACTTATTACAAAACGTCGATTAAAGTTAAACCTGGTTTAAAACTGATGCTGTCACTTCTGTTTTCTAAAAAGAAGACAGACACAGCATTATGTTAAAACCATGACTAACTTTAGCCCGCGTTTTGGATTAAGGTGGATAAAGGCAGAATCACACTAATATTATAAAGGCGAAAGTTTATGAGTGTCTAAACGGCTGGAGCGATTTTAATAAAACTTGTTATGGAGTTAGCTGACAACCTGGCTTAACACATAGGTTATGTTTTACTGCGGGAAAATATCCCTAAGAAACCGCGGGTAACACCGCGGGGCACAGCTAGTAAGTTATAATATTGCGTGTGTTTTCAGAAAATCCCAGCTGGATCCATTATCTTGCTTCACGCTTGTGCGCACAATCCCACCGGTGTAGACCCAAACCAAGAGCAATGGGTGCAACTGTCACAGGTAATTATTACTTACATTTTTTTTTAGCTGAAACTAGAATTTACTACTCTCCGGATTTTGTGCACTTTTGGGTTAGAACGGAGTTTTTTTTTGAATGCTTAACTAGCGGCTCCCTGTGACTTCGTACGCGTGGAGTTAGTTATTTGCACATACTTTTTGACCCCTGTTCACTGCTCGTTCCCTGTAGGTGAAAGACTGATAATATGTAGCCTATATGTTGACACCCGACTTCTTAGTACTTTTTGAATTTATCCTGGATATACATACAGACAAACAGACAAAAATCCTAAAAACTATATTTTTGGCTTCCGTATCGATTGTAAATCACACCCTAAGTATTCTTTTAAAAAATATTCAATGTACAGTTTTGACTTTCCTAAACTGAATAAATAATAATGATTATCTTGGTTTAAACCTAATGTTGTCTCCGTCTTCTTTTTAGCAAATATAAGTGATAATATCAGTTTTGGTCCAGATTTAACTTTAGTCACCGTTTTGTAATAAGGCGGTTAGTTTTAAAAAATATTTATCATATTGAACTACCTTGACTGACCCTGACCCCTTATTTGCTGACAGAGAGATACTAACCTAATATCGTATTCAGAAATAACAGAAACAATAGAATAACATCAATTTGACGACCTCCCTGGCCGAGGGGTTTGTACGCCGGGTTTCATGGTGTCGCCGACTTGAGAGGTCCCGGGTTCTAATCCCGCTGGGGGCAGATGTCTGTGTGATGAACCCGAGCATTTGTACTCCAGTCATGGATGTTTAACTACGTATTTCTATTTGTTTCTAAGGTTTTCATCCACACCACTCATTAAATAAAATAAGTTTCAACGGTTTAAAGGTACTGATGAATTTATTTATTGACGTTTCGCATCCATTTCAGTATGCGTCATCTAAATATTATGATTCTATTTACTTTGTCGAGCTACCTTACAAAGTAAATAGAATCATTATTCAAAATGTCGATAAATAAATAAACCCGTGCATCTATACCGTGAAACTTGTTTTATTTATGTATTTCTAAATAAATATACTTATACACCGTGTTCCTGAGGATATACATTAACTTTGAATAATACTTCTATAGCTCTTGTTAAACATATCGTACGAGGAAAGTAGTAGTTTAAATAGCATAATTTTTAAATTATTGGTAATTTAAGTTTAACCAACTTAATTGTGTTGTGCAGTGAGAAATAGTCTTTATCTGTGACATGCTGCCACTTTGTGCAACCTAAACTATCAAACTATCAACTCTTTGTCAATGGTCATTAAGTCATAGTTTGAAAAGTCAGCCCTTGCTGAGTTTCTTGCCGGTATTTCTACGGTACATGGTTTCCCGTCGTAGATTTGCGAACCGAATGGCGTAGTTTTCGGCTTTCACATGTGCTTGTAAAAGCCTAAACTGAATACATGACTTTTGATTTGAATTAATGTTTATTTATTTATTTAATGTTCAGGCGGTCAAAGAGAGGAAACTTTTCCCGTTCTTCGACATGGCTTACCAAGGTTTTGCAACTGGCAGCGTGGACAATGACGCGTTTGCCGTAAGACAGTTCGTCAAAGATGGCCACCAAGTCATGCTGGCGCAGAGCTTCGCTAAAAACATGGGTAAGTTCTTTTATTTTTGATGTGTAACATCTTTCCTCTCGCTTTCGTGCAATTTGTGGGAGTGATTACGTGAAGTGGGACGGAAGCGTGTAACAGGAAGTTTGGGAAGCGCGCGCTATTTGATTTGATTTTAGAACATAATGTTCAATTGTCATACTTATTTTGTAGTAGGTTTATTTCTTTTTTTACTAATATAAGGTGAGGTTTCAAATGTTACACATCATACGCGACTACTGTAAGGCTCGCTCGTTTTTTTTTATTATTTATTTCATATCAAAAATAACAATTACATAGCTAACAAGCGCGCCATAAATCGAAAGGATTTGTCCGTTGTGCTAAGTACAAGTACGATGCAATATCATATTAACATAATATTAAGGTGGTTAGTTAGTTACCTTCAATTATTTTTACAAGTATCATTACAACTGTTGAGCGAGAGGTGAATAGCAAAGCGGCGTGAGGGGAAGGGATCGTGCCGCAAACACATGCGGTGTTAGGGCGTTTGGTCTGCGATCGTGGTTAAATTAAACAACTTTGTATAACAAACTAAACACGAGCGAAAAAAATCCACGCATTCTCGAGAATTCTCCTAGCTAATTGCAATATTTTGGCGGTATACATGAAGCTTACTAAGCAGCCAAGCAACTCTTGCAATGGCGGGTCATCAAAGTCAAAATATCTTTGTTAAAATTGGATGCATACATTTTTTTGAAATACCTATATCATCATCATCACCCACTGCTGGGACAGGCCAGGCCTTCCTATTGATAAAATAGGGATATTTGGCCATGATCTACCACGCGGGCCCAGTGCGGATTGGCGGGTGCTAACGACTACAGATGCAGCTGGGACTAAAGTTCCCTTCCGAAGCACGGGCTTAACGTTCCTTCCGAAGCACAGAGGAACTCGAAATAGAAGATTTTTGGTCACCCATCCAATGACCGACCACTGCGATAGTTGCTAAGCTTCAACTAGCGCAGCCGAACGCGCTTATCACCTGCGCTATCGAACTCTACCAATAACTTTTATACGGCACAACATTAGAGAGTTCTGCTTTCATAAAAGATCTAGATCTAGTGTTAAACGTTAATGTTATTTGTTTTGAAATATAGGTACTGGTAAAATTATTATTGAAAACATTGTTGACGATTCTGTCTAAGATTAACCTTTGACATTTGATCAAATTTAATCTCTCAGTTTTCGTCAATAATTTAAATTACTGTTTTTTACAAAATTTTCCTGTTTTACATAAACAGCCGACGAAATAATGAATCATAATCAAGCAAGGCCAAACAATTTCGCTATACATAGTTCAACTTTGCGCATTTCAAGAAACAAAAGTCACTCCATGAAAGCGTGAACAGTTCACTACTTATCAATCATATAAAGATATCAAATATAGACTCCTTTTATCTTTTGCTTAAAACATCAATCTATTTAGAATTTTATTAAAGAGCAATGTACTTATGAATATTCGCAATACATCTTATCAAGCACTATGTGACGACTTCAATGATAAGATTAACAAAATTCCATAAGGTCAACTAAATCACTGTCATAATGACGTTTTCCTGAAACCTAGGTCGTTGATACGTCGTCAACCATATCACCGTCGCGACGGTGATAAATTGCGTGGAAGGTACACTTAGGGTTACCAGATGCTGACTTATCTCAATTCCGGGACATTTGCACCCGCGCCCCCCCCTGAAAAATAAAGCATCAAATCGACCCCCCCATCACCCCCAGAATTAAAACATCAAGCAGGCCAGCGGTTTCATTCGTTATTAGTTTATTTTGTTACGAAACTAGCACATTATCGGAATCCGGGACAGTATGGTCTTTTTACTGGACACGGGACAAGACGCAAATTCCGGGACAATCCCGGATTTCCCGGCCATCTGGCAAGCCTAGGTACACTCAGTAGCTCTTCAGACAACCTTAGTGGTTGAGTTTAAAAGATCAAAATCGTTTGCAGAATTATATTTACAACATACTAATTTGGTAATCTGACGCCCCATAGCTCTTTCGGGCGGGCAGATCCATATGTGCCAATAAAATAAGAGAGATGAAACATCAGTACCAAATATCATGTATTTACAAAGCCACATCTATCATTAAGATCCGTATGATAGCATCAAGACGTCTATTTTTTTATAATATGGCCCGCCTGATGTTATGTGGCCACCATAGCTTGCTATACCAAAAATATCACTCGTGCCGTTGTCTACCATGATCCATTCTCCTACCCCTTGGATTCCTTGAACCTTACTCACCGACAGAAACAACACCACCAAAAGGTAGTTTTATTTTACTGTGGTCATCTGTAGATGGAGCTTACTTCCTCAGAGAGGTGCTCCAATTCGAGCGGGAAATCTGCTATGCCCTGCCTCTTTTAAAAATGTCTCTTATTAATTTGAATATAAGATAAAATTTCAATTTGACAAGCATTGATTTAATTGACCTGTTAGCGCCCGTAACATAAACAAATAGGTGTCGTCCATTCTTGTCAGCATCTATACTTTAGGTATGGGCTTTGTTTGCATCAATAAACATTAGTTCTAGTATTTTATCTGACCCTATAGGTATCAATCAACTTGACTTAACAAATCAGCTTAATATTATAGGAGTATATAAAGGTTCCAATAAGACAGACGTACTTTTTAATTTTATACGTGTACCGATTTCTATGGATATTTTCTATAACAACTGTACCAATTGGCACACTGCAACAATCAAAATAATAATACTTACAATTATTGGGTCAGTAAGTCTTTTTTTATCTAAATAATACTGAAACAAATATTTGGAGTTACTATCTGTTTCTTGCGTCACTGGATGCCACATAAATTTTATCGACGGCGTCTGTAAACAAACTTTTAAACGAACAACAAAAGTAATAACAACTTATTAATTAATACTATATAAAAACATAACACAATTAAGATTACAATACTGATGATTAATACCTACATGTAACTTAAAATTCAAGATTATTGAATTCAGACTTCAGAAGAGAACTACGGCATAGAAGTATTGCTATCACGTTTGAGCGAAACATTTCCAAAAAAAGTATTACCCAACCATAAATATTAGTGGCGTGTTGGGACGATGCTTTGTCTCTGTTCGTTTAATTACAAATGGCATTTTCATGGCCAGGGGGGGATAACCCCCCCCCCCCCCCCCCCCGAGATAAAATACAAAGTCCCTAGTCCTGTTAAATCACCAATCATAGGGGCCCCATTATCCTAATATGCCCAGGACCTCCAATAGGTCTTTCTCTTTTTTCGGTCACTATGTAAAATAAGATAACTTATATGATTCGACTTTAAGCACCTTATTAATAAGAGAAGCTTATTCAGCTTACATTAGTTACGCCGTGTTTGCCATGCAGTTGCCATTTGTAATGCAACAAACAGAAACAAACATGGAGTAAGTAATCTAAGCTTGTTTTTCGTTTATCAAAAAGGGGATATGAGTAGAATTTAAACTCTTTTTATGCTTTAGTTCTTGTTCTGAGGTTCAGGCTGATTCAGTCAAATAGGAATTTTGATGTATTGGTAAGTTTCCTGGCTGTCATAGACAGTAAGTCTATCATCGGCCACGACTATTGTCACGAGTTGGCAATCTGCCACTAATTGGTTCTGTACGTGGGTACTTATAACCAACCACTGCCAAACTGGCGTAATTGAAAATTAGAGTAATTTTTAGACTATATTTTCTTGGAGGTAAAATGGCGTGATGGCTTGTTTAAATTTAATATCTAAAGTAGAAAGCCGATTATCCGAATTAATTGGGAACGGGGTCGATTCGGATAATCAAAATTTCGGATAATCGGACATAGACTAGTATTAAAGAAAAACGAACTGTCACACATAGAATAAACTTTACTAAGTTTAACAAACACAGTTTTACAATACTAGATACAATAATAGAGGTACATAGTAGCAAAAAAAACGGAGACGCAAAACATGTAGTGTCTTGCTTCTAGCCTTCAACAATAACAGTTGAAGTTAGGTGTGAGCGTTCTAAAGACGAACCGGTTTCAAGGACCGTTTTGTGTTCCGCGACGATAGAACCGTTTTACGTTTCGGATCAAAACAGTCTTCGTCGAACAACTAGTCCTCGGATTGTCTGCAAGCCAATATGTTCTTTATGATTAAGCAAATACAGTCTATAATAGAACGCAATGCTAAGAGGCCGTTTCGTTCTATGATAATTAAGCTTTGATTTTACAATAATATAATCTTTATTATTGAACATTTAAAGTCGATTATCGTATAACACTACATTTATTTCGATGTTTCGTCGTCACGTTCGCAGCAACGAAACGAACGTTAACAAGATTTCATTTAGTTCAGTTTCGTTGCGTTACATTCGTTCGACCGTCGCGTGTCGTTTCGTTGCGTCACCCAGCCGCAACCAAAACCAGTTGCGAACGAGAACCGTTTCGAGGACTAGTTTTCGTTGAAGAGAAAACGGTTGCGTTTCGTCGTCAGAAAATTTGAGAACGACCCACCGCTAGTTGAAGTATATCTGAACTCCAGCAAGTTCCAACGTGTTACAACAAAACAAAACAAAAATAACTTGGTTTTAATTTTTTATGTTACATAATGTCGTCTTCTGCCTTCTTTATAGCAAAAAATGTGACAGCATCAGTTAAGTCCAGGTTTGACTTTAGTCTACGTTTTGTAATAAGGCCCGAGTTCAAAATCATTAGCGCTATTCAAAAACGCCCGTGAACCAAAGCATTCGTGAGCGTGATTTCTTATAAAACCTACCGCCTTTAGGTCTGTATGGCGAACGAGCTGGCGCCCTCACGTTCCTCTGCGGCGATGCGGAATCTGCGGCAAAAGTGATGTCCCAAGTGAAGATCATGATTCGCACCATGTACTCCAACCCGCCATTATACGGTGGCCGCATCGTGCAGGAGATTCTATCCAACCCAGAGCTCAAGAGCCAATGGTGAGTTGTGCTGTATACGTCTAATGTTCCACAGTACCTAGAAAGATGATATCTTATCCGCACCATGTACTCCAACCCGCCATTAAATGGTGGCCGTATCGTGCAGGAGATTCTATCCAATCCAGAGCTCAAGAACCAATGGTGAGTTGTGCTGCATACGTCTAATGCTCTACAGTACCTCAAAAGATGATATCTTATCCGCACCATGTACTCCAACCCGCCATTATATAGTAGCCGCATCGTGCAGGCGATTCTATCCAACCGGGAGCTCAAGAGCTAATGGTGAGTTGTGCTGCATACGTTTGATGTTCCACTGTATCTAGAAAGATAATATCTTATCCGCACCATGTACTCCAATCCGCCAACAGACAGACACACACTTGCATTTATAATATTAGTATGCATACCCGTCCTAATTGTTTCATTAAATGATTGATTTTCATGAACTTAGAAGCAAAAAAGTAATTTCATACGTGTCGCCGTCTTTAAGTGTTAATTAGGTGTTTACTAACACGTTCGTAGTGTTTTTGAATGTTATTTACTAACAATAATGTTTTATATTTGAACATATGTTATCCCGGCACTTCACTTGGCTATTCATGTTTGATATTTGTAAACTTGAGAGCAGTCTGTCTTTATCATGCTTTATAAGGAATGAAAAGGACAGACTAATGTCAACATTAAAGTTGATATTAGTCTGTCATATAATAAATAAATATTTCCTACACTCACCAATTAGCCTAGTTTGCTTACTTTGAGTAAGCACTGTAAGGCTTGTGTTATTCCCAAAAGGGTTACGGATAGAATACATATACTGTACATAGATAAGTATGTTTATATATAAATACTTATTAAACATCCATGACTGGAGTACAAATGATCGTATTCATCACACAAACATCTGCCCCCACCGGGATTCGAATCCTGGGACCTCTTGAGTAGGCGACATCATGAAACCCGGCGTACAAACCACTCGGCCACAGGGGTCGTCTTTACATATAGCAAACATGAATAGCCAAGTTTAGTACCGGTATTAGACTATAAGGTGTTTTTCTATGTGCCAACGTAGCCTGATTAAAAAAATAAAATAAAATTTATCCTTGTAATCGCAAGGTTGTGCGACGTGAAACTGATGGCAGACCGCATCATCAGCATGCGTAAGCAACTCCGCGCTGGCATCGAGGGCGCCGGCAACAAGCAGAACTGGCAGCACATCACCGACCAGATCGGCATGTTCTGCTACACCGGCCTCAATCCCGACCAGGTAATCACTATTTTGATTCTAGAAAGGCAATGCTAGATAACCTGTTTGAAGAAAACCAGGGAATGCTTCAAAGAATGAGCGCATCACCGACCAGATCGGCATGTTCTGCTACACTGACCTCAATCCCGTCCAGGTAAACACTATTTTGATTCTAGAAAGGCAATGCTAGATAACCTGGTTGAAGAAAACCAGGGAATGCTGCAAAGAAGGAGCGCATCACCGACCAGATCGGCATGTTCTGCTACACTGGCCTCAATCCCGACCAGGTAAACACTATTTTGATTCTAGAAAGGCAATGCTAGATAACCTGGTTGAAGAAAACCAGGGAATGGTGCAAGGAAGGAGCGGAGGACCCTAATAATTTGCAACAAGCACAACTGGCAGCACATCACCGACCAGATCGGCATGTTCTGCTACACTGGCCTCAATCCCGTCCAGGTAAACACTATTTTGATTCTAGAAAGGCAATGCTAGATAACCTGGTTGAAGAAAACCAGGGAATGGTGCAAGGAAGGAGCTGAGGACCCTAATAATTTGCAACAAGCACAACTGGCAGCACATCACCGACCAGATCGGCATGTTCTGCTACACTTGCCTCAATCCCGACCAGGTAATCACTATTTTGATTCTAGAAAGGCAATGCTAGATAGCCTGGTTGAAGAAAACTAGGGAATGGTGCAAGGAAAGAGCGGAGGACCCTAATAATTTGCAATAAGCACAACTAGCAGCACATCGCCGACCAGATCGGCATGTTCTGCTACACCGGCCTCAATCCCGACCAGGTAATCACTATTTTTATTCTAGAAAGGCAATGGTAGATAACCTGGTTCAAGAAAACCAGGGAATGGTGCAAGGAAGGAGCGGCAGACCCTAATGATTTGCAACAAGCTCAACTGGCAGCACATCACCACACCACATCACATATTATTATTATTATTCTGCGCCATAGAGAATGGTCTGACCAAGTCAAATGAAACTGACAACTCTCTAGGAAGAGAAAATGCAACAAGCACGTAGACCGCCCGATCGTTGCTTCTCTCTTCCACTTAACCGACCAGTTTTACTAATAATTGGTTAGGGAACGGAACGCTAAGTGTCTGGTTCTACCAACTCTCTGCCTTAATGGCGCGAAACTGACTTCCGTAGCCGAGTGGTATATACGCAGGGTTTCATGGCATCGCCTATTCAAGAGGTCCCGGGTTCGAGTCCCAGTGGGGGCAAATGACAGTATGATGAATACGAGCATTTGTATCTTAGTCATGGATGTATAAATATACTTTTGGATAAAATATACTTATATATGTATCAGTATATGTATTCTATCCGTTACCCTAGCAATCCATAACACAAGCCTTACAGTGCTCACTTTGGAGCTAGGCTAGACGAGTGTGATATTGAACAAAAAATTAGTATGTGCGTATTATATTTCAGGTTGCCAAGCTGACCAAGGACTTCCACATCTACCTGACCAAAGACGGCCGCATCTCAGTCGCCGGCATCTCCTCGAAGAACGTCAACTATGTAGCTGAAGCTATGCACAAAGTTACATCCTAAACAACTTCACTCGACACTACTACCCTAATCTAGGGTTGCCAACCTCAAATTTAAAAAACCAGGATTTGAAGTTGGAAAAACCAGGACAATTCCGTTTTTTAAACAGGACGCATTAATAGAGTTGCGATAGTTAAATAAATAATATCTAATGAAAACAGGTGAAATGAAATTTAAGTAATTAAAATAATCACATGTAGCGTAAAAAATTAAGAAGAGGCGCACGAAATTTAATATTTAAAAACCCAGGACGCTGCTTAAAATCTATTCAGGGCGTCCCAGGACACTACAAAAACTAGGACATGTCCTGGGCAAACAGGACGGTTGGCAACCCTACTCTAATCCAAACCTCAGACCAATGTTACTCAACATTTACTCGCATTTAACGGCAAAACTACGACAACAGACCAAAAGTCTAATCGTTTCACGACACGAGATTACGTAAATATTTGGCCCTGAGCAAACAGTATTTTGTTTTATGTAATTTATGATCATTGTACATTGTTTTTAAATATGTTTTATTTTTTTATTGCGTATATTGAAAATTTAATTTTCTTTAAACGAAAATGTCGTATTTATATAGTGTTTTTTATTTTAAATAAATTATATAGTTGATAATTAAATGCGTTTCCTTATTTAGAAGCTAGGAGTTGAGGGTATGTATGCCGTTTTAATACAACAAATGGCGTTCGAAATGTTAATAAACAAACTGCACACTATATGATTAAACTTTTATTGTTAAAATAAGTAGATAAAATAAACTTGATGCCAAAACACAGAAATTGTATTAACATGTTTGCAGTGATTCTACAACTAGTACAACTACGCAAAATATTTACAGCCGACCAAACAAATTAACATCTTACTCTACTTCTTAAAAACCGGATGCAGGTCAATCGTTAATATTGCCTTTAGAATTTAAACAAGAATTTTATATAATATACACGAGTACATAAAAAAATCTCTCCTTTAAGGACATATAGCTTATAAGTAATGGGAACACATTTATCCACAGAATATTTGCATTGTGGTAACAATCTTAAGCATATTCACCTGCATCGACGTATAAAATCGATGTAAACCTATTTTATATACCTAAACTAAATCAGTTTATTGTTGGACAAACTTCGATATCCCAAAAATTTGTGTCACATACATTTTATTTATTATGATACAAAATATACTATTACATCTTAGAGTCGACAATTTGTCAATGATATTTTAATAAAAATAGTATTAATTATATGTACAATTTTTTTATAGACCATAACTACATGGCACTATTTCTTTAGAATTCAATACCATTCCTTCATTAAAGCAAGAAATATGTACCGATAGGGACTCCGCAAACATTGTGCGTCTCACGGCATTTTCTCCTGGAATTCTGTGATAATGATGCCTTGTATTCTAGTGTGGCAAGTCTGCCTGTCATAAAAAAATCTACTGACTAACAACAAGGTAATGAAAAAATGACGAAAATGCGCACGAGTGATATTCCAATATCATGCATTCTAACTTTCATTGTAACTGCCTCTCATTTACCGTCCTTCCGGAATTTTCGAATGTTCATGAGAATCTAGTGGAGCCTTCCCATTTATTCTTACTTCAATTCAGTCTAATTCAGACATAGGCGGCTTCTAAAATAACAGTTCATACAAATTCAGAATGGCTTAAATTGTCTGGTTACTATTACCTAAGAAGCGACAATGTTGCACCGGCAAAATTTAATTTTTAATGATATCTTTTTTTGTGAAAAAATGACAGAATGTAAAATGACAGATTTTCGATGTTACTACTTTCCTGGTAGCTTTATAAAGCCCTTTTATCAATTTTAATACCAAACCAAGGTAAGATACATTATTTAATGTAATATTAATAAGAGAGTTGCCAACGTGAGTTTTGATTTAAAGATTTCCCGCTTATTAATAAACGAAGACTGAGCTAGGATTAGTCACTCGATGTTGTCTCTGTTCATTGAATGACAAATGGCATTTGAGTGATATATATGAACAAAACGCGGCGTAAGTAGTCTAAGCTTATTCCTTGTTTATAAATAAGGAGGTAACAGAAGGAATAATCCTAAGCTACAAGTTACACCATTTCTAAATATGTATTGAACTGTCAGGTGGAGACATAAATTTCCTTTTAATTGTGGCCGATCTTTACTTGCATAAGTATTTTGCTATCGACAGATGGCTGAGATATCATCCGCTGAATTTTACCAAACCATAACTAAACGTCTTAAATAAATTTTAGTCACGCTCATTTGGGATTAAACTACATATAATGGTCAATTGAGGAAGAATAATGTGATGCATTAAGACTAAATACCTACTTCAGACAAATTTTAACACAATTATTTCACATTTAATATCGGTTTGATTAGTAAAGCAAAAAAAAACGAAGATTTCTACTAATATAATTATTATAAATGTGAAAGTTTGTATGCTTGTTACTCAATTACACAAAATCTACTGAACAGACTTGGATGAAATTTGGTACGCTCATAGTTTATGACCTGGATTAAGACATTGAATTTTTTTTCCTAGAAAAAAATTAGATTCCTGTAGAATTCTTAATAAACTATAGTTAACACAGTATTTAACTACGCCCTACGCGCGAACCAATATCGAATTCCAATTATTGAATTCGATCTCGATACGCGTCAGATGTCGAGGGTTTTGTATGAAAGATCTTTAATTCTCGTTACGTCCGTTATGACGCTGCTCAAATTTACCGGAAGTAAAAACAAACTATGTAGCTACTTACATCGAAACTATGACGATGGCGATACGAACACCTCGCTAATTGTTCGTGCTTGTGTTACGGAAAGTGTATCCTTATTGTAGCTAAGTCTCAATTTGGGCAATAAACTATATCCGCCTTATTACAAAGCGTAGACTAAAGCTTAACCTGGGCTAAAAAGGTTGCAGTCACTTTGGTCTGCTAAAAAAAAAGACCGAGACAGCATTCGGTTTAAACCAAAACTAACTTTAGTCGTCGTTTTGGAATAATGGGGGTTAGTGTGCCAAATTTTATCCAAATACGTTCAACCGTTTTTATGTAATTTAGTAACAAACATTAATTTTCGCATTTATAATATAAGTAGAATTTCTTGATGGTAGGTAGTTTGAAAACCCTTACGGATCTAAGTATAACAAATAAGGGCAACTTCGAAGTACTGCACAAAGGACAAAATATATGTTTGCATTGAGAATGTGCTTTTTTTGTATAGCTTCTTTGTTAACTTCTACAAAATGGCTCCTGGTACTCGTACTATTAAGATATATTTCACTTTACGGTTTCTTAAAAAAACAACTTGCGTGACCCAAGCGCACTAAGTGACCTTGATGTCTTCATAAATATTTACTTAAGCAAACGTATAACATAATGGATATATTTTATTTAAATTATTGGGCTAAAATATCGTAGCTAGGCTATATTTAAATTAACAACTAAAATAATTTATTTTTAAATAACGCTCTTGCAAGGAGGCTTGTACTGAAATGCCATTGCATCGATATTACACAAAAATTATTATGTATAAATAAATCTTAATATTAAAATTAAAAAAATACCTAGATTAAAGAAATGTAGTTTGTGCGTAACAAAAACATATTACATAAATTCAGTAAACACTTAACATTAACAATTATCTAAACAATACAATCCTGTTATTTCCATTGATTAAGTTTATGCTATTTTTTTTAACAAAAAAAACTATTGAGATCTCTATTGCGGGTTTGTAAATTAAAACTGTCCCAACAATGTTTGTTAACATTGGATGCTCAGACCAAAAACTACTTCAATCCATTAGAGATTCAATAAGCTCCAGGCTTATTTGATAAAGAAGAAATCTTATAAATTCACATCTCACAACACAGATAGAACCAATTCCATTTCAAGACACAAAATTTATACTACCATTATTTAAAAACTTTAAACCTACATCATGTGCAGTTTTTGCAAATAATTTATACAAAACTTTGTATAAATAAATATACATACTCACTCGATTATTAAATCTAACAGAGATAGTACAGTCAAAGCAAACAACAAACGAATATGGTTTTTATTGCTGCATAATAAAGGCTACGATATTGAGTCACATTTGCATCAAGCGAATTGATCTTTAATGTGATAATTCTGTGAAACGATACACATGCGTACTATATAATTGATACAAAGCGAATTTGGGTTAAACATATAGTTTTTGTCTCTATGAGGCTCAAACACCGTACTTGTCGTTGCAGTAAGTAAAGGTCGAGTGCACAAGAAGTTTGTGCGATAGGTACTTCTTCTTAAGCGGGCTCCACATTCCTGCCAAAACTACGCCTATGTTGCCGAATACAAGAGAGAGTGCAGAGCGAGTATTGGTATCCCTCCACATTCTCGATGTCACTATTGCCAGTCGGCTGAAATCGGATGATAGTTGTTATAGACAAGACAGAGCATGTTCTTGTGAAAATCTTATGGTGAAGTTTTGATAATGTCGACAAATTGAGCCCACAATCTAGAGTATAATTTTTAGAACAAGAACAAACTCAAAGCTACCCTTTAACAAAAGACAAGAATCAAAGCCACCCTTTAATATAGGACCCTGAAGAACTATTGTGTTGAACCTGATGGATTCATTTCATGAATTACCAAATAATTATAACATGTATGTTATAATTATATTACAGCAGATATTTTCACGACGTCAATTCCTTACGAGCGTCTATTTTAAACTGTGCCGAACGAGAACGTAGAGCCAGTCTCGTGTGCTCTCGACAAAACGTTTTGTCGAGAGCTTGCCAAGAACGTGGAGCCCGTTTCATAGGTTCGTCATGCCACGTAAGAAGAAGTTTCGGCGTCCTTGTTTAACGTTTCCATGTACCGACATTTTAAATTATCACTCACATTTTTAAATAAGAGAGTTTTTGTAAAGACAAATTACTCAACCTCTCTGGATGCAGAGATACTTGCCTCACCAACTCGACGACCTGAACCAGTAGCCTCCTGAGCTAGGGGTTACTTCGAACAAAAAACTTTTAACCGAGACGTCATTTGGCAGTGCTTGTTTATTAATAGTAGAAGTTACAGCTAACCTTATTCTCTCCTTAGTCTAATTAGCTGATATTGCTTATTGTACTCTCTCCTGTCAACTCACAACATCGTAAATACAGATCATAACCACCTCGGCTCAAATAGTGCAAACTTTGTCTAAAATTCCCATCAATTTCCCTTATCAATTGCGCAGGCGATTAATGTGAATAGTTGGGAAAAGAATTATTTACGGCACTGACACTTTTTTAGCTTTGAGGGGAATCCCGAAAATAGTTACTATCGAAAATTATCTTCCAGAGGCCATAAAGCGAAAAGTAAATTATGATGCACAATTTTTTGTTTTTTTTAGGCAACGGGTAATCTACAATACATTAACAAAAAATTATCTCTTTTTAGATTAGGCATTTAGCTCTTAGCAATATGAATTTATATTATCAATACATTCAAATGAATAAATAATTTCTAGTTGTAACTGAAAATTAAATTACAAATTAGATTTTTTTATCCCTATGAACATAAATTTTGTTTAGTGTACAAGTACATGTAAAAATATTTAAAATATGCAAACAGTTTTGACTGTTTAACCACTCTTATTGCAATGGGAATAAGGCACACGATATGTTAGTTTGTTTTTATATTTTTACAAGTGACTTGTACTTTTCTATAATATAAAAGATCATGTTAACTAACTTTAACGTCAGAATATGTGCCTGAAATGATGCTATTAAAATCTAATAAAGCATTCTCCTTTTTACTAAAAAGTTTCCTACTCAAAATAGGTGGCTATTATAATTTTATTTTATTATGTTTTACGGCTCTGGAGAATAGGGTATTTGACAGTATTAAAAATAAAGTGCCAATTGTTAGCATCTGTGTTTAGAATGAATATTGGCAGGGGATTTTACTATTTTTACAAAAAAAAATATTCTTAATTTTATTAAAAACCCACGAAAAAGATAATAGTTTCTTATCTATTGTCACGTGACCCAAAACGCTTGGGATTGGCAGAGCCTAAAATAACGTCACACGCAAGTAAACTTCCGGTTAAAGTGACATTATATTGTATCGTTTGACGTTTTAATAACAGTCGTGTGACGTCACACACTAGTAAGACGCCATATTGTCCAGAAAAACGTTTTCGCGGCAACTTGAAAATGGAGTTTTTGATTTGGTTATTTTTATTGAAATACACAACAGAATTATGAATATCCACTTAATCAACTTTTCACGGACTCCATAATCATTAGTCAATAACGGGAGATGGTTTTCTAAAACTTGTCAAATACCCTATTAAGTCAGTTTTCTTCCACACCTTATTACAAAACAAACGTCAATCTAACGTAATGAACTTTACTTTAACACGATATAATTAAAGAAAACAAAACCGTCACATATTTTGCTCAATCATAATCACTGCCACAGAAAGCTAAGACCAATTATCATTTGTACTAGATATCTTATTCTGTATAGTTTTCGGTCTAAATTGCATTGGCATGCACATATTGGAGACAAAAAGATAAATTGCCAAATTAACACCATAACACAGAAAAAAAAATCCGTAAGTGTTTGGACGCCTAACCTTAAGATGAAACGAAGACTCTTTGCATTTGTTTCATGCAAGAGACTGAAGCCGACACCCTCGTTCAACTGATTGGTTGTCAAATAGCAGTGAATTTGGCCAGAGCATTACAGCTCAAGTATAATTCGCAGCAAAATAAGCTACAGCACATTAGAATCAATGTAAATTGATACAGCAGCAGAGGCCAATCTTGCTGGTATAAGTCAAGTTACTGGTGCTGTTGTTAAACTAGTAGTAAAGTACCGTATTGAAGTATAAATCTGCCATAAAACACCTACCTATCAAATGCTCAATTGGATTTTCAATAATATTAAAAAACAAATGCGTATGCTTTCATATTAAAAAGGTAAGGTTTTATTACAGCTGCCATTATGATGGAATAATAATAACATATAACGTACAATCATTCCCCTTTATTTCCGATTACACAAAGTAGTGCTTTTTTATCAGGTAAATTAAAGAGACTTATAGTAATCACTTCATAAATGTTAAAATTGTCATAATACAAACTTACTCTACGCTAGACTTAATAAATAGCTCAGTACTTATATCATATTTACACTCCCATTGAAATTGCAATGACAGTTGATAAAGTATTTATAATATTTTCAAAATTACAATATACAACACTATTTGCTAAAAAAGCACTACCCGTCTAACTGGTCTTATCAGGCGGTTCAACACCAACGAGTGTCTCGATACTATAGATTTAATTTTTTATCACTAACATACATAAAGTCCAAAATCTATTGGGTACTCCAAATTCAAAGCCTCTAACATCAATAAAAGACAATATATTTTACAATACAACACACCATTCGAAAACTGTTCCAATTACGATTTCAACAAAACAATACAGAGATTACCGGCGGCAACATCACTTCACACTTCACATTATATGTCCCAGCTTAATCTAATCGCCATTACATTTTAAAGAAACACTTTACCATTTCAGATTAAACCTAGAGTATTGCTCATTTGCTTAAAGGCATAGTTTCACTTACAGTTTGCGAGTCTGTTGAGTTTGCGGAGTCTTCGCCCAGTAGCCGACTGAGTTGATCGTGGAGTGCGTCTGGTCGTCTAGATTCTCTCGCTTTCGGCTCCTCCCCGCAGAAAACGTCGTCCCCGGCCATTATACTCTCCGCCAAATACGAGAATGAATCCAAATTTATATCAGACGAACTGATCGCCGTACTGTATATGTCTATCCGCTTTTGCTGGGATTTAGCCTCCGCCACCTTCTCCGACAGCTTCTCCTTCGCTTTCGTCAACGCGTCCGATTCAGATTTGTCAATTTTCGAGTCGGATTCTTTTAATTTTTCCCCCGCTTTCGACTTGAGCGCGAAAGATGAATCGTTGCTTGACGACCCTTCGTCTTGCAGTTGACTCAGGAGCGTTCGCGTCGCGAGCGATAAACCTGACGAACTGCCGTAAATCTCGCTGGTCTCCCCTAAAAGCATCGATGTTTCTTTTGAAAAAAATTACACAATTATAAAAAAATGTATAACAAAATACAAAATAACAATCAAGATGTTATCTTACCACCTGCTGTCGCAGTTGGGATGCTTTCTTGCGAAGAGTGCTTGCTTTTGGATTTGTGACTGTCGACCATGTACTCGTTTTCGCTGTCACTCGACATGCCGAGATCCAAATGCAAAGAATTCAATTTGTCATCGTCATCCTTGCCTTTGCGGGAAACAGTGTCTAACTCCATTTCCCAATCGGTGACACTCGATGAATCCTTTACAGCTTCGACATCTTTAATAAAACTAGATTTCTCGACATCTTTTTCTAGAGTGGGTATGACAGAATCCTCAATGGTTACGATGCCACCTATACTGTCAGCGGTGGAGTCTAAGCTACTCGCATTACAGTTATCATCAGTGATTGTATTCTCAAATAAAACAGGAGTATCTTGTGTAATTTGAGCGACCTTCGCTCCTTCGTCGTGTTCTCTTGCAATATTGGTGTTTCTACTCTCCAATATTTCCGACATGGTAGTTGCACGACCAGTCTGTTCGTTATTCAATTCTAAAACAATCACGTTACCAGCACATTTAGAAGGATCTGCTGCATCCGATTTTGATGCTTGTAAAAGTTGATTAATGTTTTTCCCCATTATTATTTTGGACATGTCGTTACCATTCTTTGTAAAAGTCAATGCTTTCCCAATGGTGGCTCCTTTTTGTACTACAATGACGCTGCCTTTTGCACTCGCTGGTCGTACAATAGGATTTGTTATTTTGGGCGTAGTAATAGGGGTCATTCCTTTAACTGGCATGATGTCGGCTAGATTAGCTGTTTTGATGGGTTCTACATTAACAAGTTTAGTATTAGAGGCTATTGCACCGACCACTGCAGGTTTCGATACTATGGGCAATGCTGTAGTCTTAGACACAGGAGTCGCCGCTTGAGAACTAACAGGTACAAGTTTCATTCCAGTCGAAAGACCTTTAAAATGTATAAGAGGTATTTGGCCTTCTGGACCAGGTTTCGTCCGGGCTTTTGCAGGTAGAACAACCATCTTTTGCCCCGACTTTGAATTCAAAACTACAGTTTTGGCAGACACTTTCAAATCCGTCGTAGGAATCCCTTTCGGTGTAAATGTTTCAGTGGTTTTATGTGATATGCTATTTGTACTTATTGGGACCATATCTTTTCCTGGTGTCACAGTTACAGATGATGTTATAATAATCTTTGAATTGGACAAATTTTTTATTTCCGATGCTGGTTTTGATACAACAATCATTTTATCCGATGGAGTTCCTGGTGTCCTACCTTTTGGTATGGAGCCGATAACTTTAGTTGCTACTAATTTCCCTGGAGTTTGCGTCTTTTGTGCAGAAGGAGGGGCTACGACAACTTGTCGATTCAATAATTTGATTCCTTCTGATGGTTTTTGTAACAGTTTAATTTCAGACATTTGTACTTTTTTATCAGGAGTAATTTCGCCGCGTTTCTTTATTATGAGGTGGCAAGGTTTATTGCCTGATATTTGTTTTGTTGTAGGTATGCTTTGAGCTTGCAGCATAGACGGATCATCTGGGTGCACGTTGTCTGACACACCTAGCTCGTGAGGCAACGTCGCAGGCTGCGTCAATAGTTGCATAGTTGGAGAGTCTGTCATCATGCTAGGCGACGCAAGACCTTTCTGTTTCACGTCTTCCATATAGTCAACCTTGGGTTTGTTTCCTAATACTGATTGAGCATAACTGGCCTGGAAGGTGTTAGGTGGGCCAGAATACTCGAGTTGCATTGATGATGGATTGTACTGTTTGCTTGGTGACATAGCCAATTCCTGTTGTTGTTGCTTTTTCATTTGAGATTTTGATAAGGTGCCTTGTGCAGAATTTTTTGAACTTTTATGTGTTCTGTGCTTATGTGTTTGTTTTCGTGTGTGAGCTGATTTACTAGTGGATACTTTGCTTACTTGGTTATATGAATGCTTAGATTGGCCAGATGGCTTACCTGTAATAATTAATACAATAACATTTAATAAAACTAAATAAAACTAGTTTTTACGGGTTAATGCACGAAACTTTATTTATTTATTGACGTTTCGCAGCCTTTTCAGGTCTGCATCGTCAGAATAATGATTTTTTATTTAAAATTGTCGAGCTACCTTCGAAAGACTTATATTGAGCGTTCGGTTATTTCATTGGAAGATTTTTAAAATTTTATTGTCTATGTATGAATTTATTATTTAATTTACTTAATAAAGTTTACATTTATTTAATGCAATATTTATTATTTTATAAAACTAATAAATATATTAGTTAGTTATAAAATACTAGATATCATCCATTGAACTTACTTGTAGCAGGTTGTGAAAATTTCGAATATATCTGTGATAAATTTAGATGTTTTTGATTTGTGTTTACAGGTATATTCCTCATGTTTTTGACAGGTATCGTGGCATCGTCTGGTATTGCACCACTTTCGGGAAACTTTCTTTTACGGCAAATTATTTCTGTATCCCATAACTGAAAAATAATTTACACGATAATTGAATACACTTTACTATTTAATAGAAATGAGTTGCATTGAAACATTATTAATGCTGACTTTGCTCGTTTGGTCTTCCATAGCCACAGGTGGATATAGCATATCATCAGTAACTTCATTGGAGGAAAGAGCGCCCTCTGCCGTTTCTCCTTCAGCCTCAGGTACATCTTCTTCATTTGATTTAGGAGCGACGAGTTTCTCCGCTTCGAGTTTCTTAATGATCTCTTTATTTTCGGCGGCAGCAGCTTCAGCTGCTTTATCCGCAATCTCTGTGTACATAGTCTGTGCTACACCGCGCGGTAGGAGGGGCACTCTCCTCCGACCTTCGCTGATCCATCCTAGACCTGTATTGGGGCCTGATAACCTGAAATAATTCATTTCTATTAATTGCAAAAAAGTGAAAGATTTCAGGAATAATAAGTGTCTGTTTTCGAGATATGTAGGTACTATGTTAGTTTTTAATTTCATTAATTGGCAAATGAACATATTGCTGTCATAGTGAAAGAATGCAATATCTAACAAAATCTAACTTCCAAGATAGTTATTAATTTTTATTTTATTTAAATAATGTAGATTCACAGGGTCAGTACGAATTAATAATGAAAAGTATGTAGTTCAACGTATTTTCTTAACAACAAAAAGTTATGGTCATTTTTAATGAAAAATAAAGACAAAATTGGTTTTGTTAGTTATTTAATTCTTTTACTACGAGGACGATATGACTTGAATGAATAAGAATCACCACAGGCTACAGTCACCCTACACTAGAAATATTTCTAGTGCACTGGTAGGCCCTGTTTTTAGACTGTGTGATAATCCTTTAACCTAGTAACTTTATGGTCTGGCAAACAGCACTTCTACAATATGGTTTTCCAAACTACACAATACTGCAGAATTCTGTAATTTGATTAATTAACTGTATGTTTACATAACCTTCACATTAAATTTAAAAAAACTGAAAACCACAACATTTTGCGAGAAGATGAATTTGTTTTTATAAACATTCCATAATAATATTAACCATTCCAGTGTAATATTTTTTATATCATAAGATAAAACATACCTTGAAAATGACAATCTACCTCAGATTTTCATTAAAAATCATAGCTATCTATATATTTTTTGGAAGTTTTGTATAAACTTTTTATTAGAAAGCATTATGACTGAAAAGGTTGAAAAATTTCAACTGTTGAACCTTATGATACCAGTTTCACATAAAAAAATGTTTTTTTTTTTTTTCTTGGGTCATAGTCACAACACTAACCTTACCTAGTGATCTAAAATGATAAAAAGGAACAACTTTGATAATTTCACAATTTTGAAATAATAAAAAAAGGGTTTTTATTAACATTTTTCTTTTTCGAAAAATTAATCTTTACCAAATATTTGGTTTATTAAGGTACCCATGTTATGTCTGAATTCACACCTATTGCTTCAAAAAATTTACATTCATCAAATGTGCTCTGTTAACTGAGTTCAAACTTCAAACAAACATAAACCAAACATTGTGAGTGTTGCCAATTATTGAAATCTTGGTTGGTAATTTTCAATCAAAAATGTGTAATAAGTTTTAAAATAAACAGAAAACTTCAAAATATAATAAAATATTGAACAGACACTTCCTTATTAATTTTGTATTCTGTAGGTACTCATTAAAAAAAATGCTCCAGAAAAACTCATATTTTTCATGTAAGAAAAAATGCTTTGTTGCCTTCCTAACTTAACCTAGTGTGAAGTGTCCACTCTGGGGCCCTGATCTTCTTGTAAAGTTTAGCCTAATAAAATATATAACATGCTAAAAATTGGTATATAACCATAGCATTTTTGAAGCATATGTTTTAAAAACTTCTATAAACTTTGTCAACTTTATAAATTTACTACCTACTTACTGCTGAAAATATATTTAACTAGCAGTCACTCGCGACTTCATCTGCATTTACTTACTTTCTTGAGAATCCTACAGGGACCTTACATTTATCTATGTTTTAATCCAGTTCATAAACTATATGTGTACCCAATTTCATGCAAATCCATTCACTCATTTCTGTGTGATTGATTAACAAACATACAAACTTTCACATAATATTAGTACAAGAATGAAAATGTAAGCTAAACATTGCCAATAAAATCTATTCAATATTTTGATAAATAAATTCAACAAATGCATCTAACTTTACCATTATTGGATTTAATTATCAGTAACATAAATTATTATATTACCCAAAAAAATAGAAACAGTTGCAAACATTGTGCCTACTACAAATGACATGAATTGATTTACTATGAAATAAGATGTATGAATTTCATATGAGAGGATATAGATATGGGTATTGCAAATCAGCTCTAAAAGCTGTAGTTGATGTGGTTTTAACAAGCCAGATTTCTAATGAGGTATAAAATAAAGCTGTTATATTGCAGTTTGGTATATATTAGTTAGTTCACTCAATGTGAACATATGGATATTATACATTTGAGCACATATCTGGTTTAAGCACACTCGATATCTTTAAACAAACAATTCATTGATATCTACAAAGAATGGAGCAAGATACAAGAGTACCGGGAAGAATTATGTGTGTTTTATGTGTATAAAATCCAAGTTACTTTTGATCACAAAACTCAATATTTGTATTAAATTACTATTTTACATTTCAATTTTATAATTCTTTCTTAAGCCTATGCTAGATACTACTTTGTTAGATAATTAAAAAACAAACTGTCACATCTCCTAAATTATAGGTTACCTGTCAATGTATATTTTTTAATTAACTAAAATTTACTTATTATTTAATCATAACAAATTTTGAGTAGTAAAATTACATTAGAACAATATCATATAAACTGTGGCAGTACTATCTACATGGCCAAGATAAATAAAACGCAAGTTACAGATTGCTGTATTAAATGTCAAACTTTCATAAATTCCTATTAGATAAAATCATTATTAAAACACTAGCAAATCTTATAAGTAAGTCAGGCGCATCAACGCTTATGACTTCTCAATAGTCTCAGCCATCTTTGAGTATGCTGTTGAGTGTAAAAATAAAACAACAAAGCCACTATGAAAATATTGAATATTAACTCACTGTTCTGCAATTGTAGCCAATAATTCGTCATTAGACACGCGGCGTGCTTCAGCGCTATGCCGATCATTGCTTATATGCAAAACGGCGCGTAGTTCCTCGAGTAACTTTTTTCTGTTGTCTTCCAATGCCCCCTGTGCTCTAAACACACTGATCATATTCGAGTAGGCTTCCAATTCTAAAAACAAAGAAAGGTACCAATAATTAACAAAACAAATGTCGATAGAATCTCTATAGAAAAACTTAAATGCTCTGAGTTTATTGAACAAATTTATAGGAGGGAAAAATAATGCCTCAAGACTAAATATATACCAAGTCTTCGAAGCGTCCGACGACATTCGTCGCGCGTTAAGTTTAAGAGCATGGGCCACATAATGTAATGTCTTTATTAGAATTGAATTAAATAACCCCACACTTCAATATTTTCAACATAATTTACAAATTACAGAATTGGCAAATATCCATACTGTTTACTTCAAACAATTCGTTCATTTTTGACACTTCAAAAAATAAGACGGCTTTATTTGTTGTCTATGAATCGAGAATACCAGTTACAATCTTTCAATTACCGCAAAACATTTTTTTATAGATAGGTCCGTGACTGACTCCCGCCTGGTGTTAAGTGACGATGAAGTCCAGACGTGATGGTACAGTAGTTCTACCTGCCACTCCAGCCATCCTCACGTTGACGGCCTGCATGTTGCTTCTATTTATTGCCATTTTTCATGAGATAAGTTTACGTGTTTTTTTTTCTGTATTTTGTTATTTTTATAAAACAAATTAATTACCCATGCAATCAATGCATTTTTGCCAATGTAGTGGTAGTTTTTTGACGCCCTTTTTGAAAAAGTCTGCTGGCAACGAATTCTTCAAAGGCATTTTTCTCCCTTTTCATCAATTAAAGGTTTCATCAATGAGTGAGTATGATATTTTTTTATGCTGTAGTTATCTGTACATATAAAAGTTTACTGACTGACTGATATATCATCGCACATCTCAAACCACTGAACAGATTGCGCTGAAATATAGCTATTATATTGTATGCGTGCTCTAAGGAACAATTTTCCAAACTCACCCCCCAAAGGGGTAAAATGGGGGTTCATAATTTGAATGGACCACCAAGTTCGCAAAGTTAATCCATTAACTAAATCAGCACATACCAGTTTCATTCATTCGAAAAATACTGAAGAGTTTTTTTGAAGTTATACTTCTTTAGGAGCGTTATGAAAAAATGATGAGAGTGAAATTTTAAGAATCGCGCGCATCACTGTAACACAAAAAATTAACTTTTGTGTTTACCGCACATTAAGAAAATCTACCAACAAAATAGAAATAGAATCTCTATTTTCTGGGTGCTAACGACTGCATTGTGAAGGCCTATCAAAAGTATTTATTAATCTGGAAGAACGGAACCAAAGCGCGATTCAGGAGACCAGCGCCATCTTTTGACCATTGGTGTAGTAGAACCAAAAACCACATCTTTATTTTTTGTAATAAAGTAACAGTTATAGGTATTCATATTTATAATATTTATCCACATGTTTCTAGTTTGTATATTCGGAATACGTGTTTGAGTTTCATACAAGTGCAAATCACATAATGGTGCCAATTCTGGCGTGATTCTCTAAACTTAAAACTAAATTTAACATCAGTCTCTCCTTTTCATTCTGTATAGAGAATGACAAGGATATACTGGTGTCAAAATTAAGTTTAGGTTTAGAGAATCATGCTAGAATCGACACCACTATGTTCTAATAAATTATATTCAGTAGCGATTTTAATTGAATATTTTGATTATTTATTTATTTTTTCAAATTAAAACTGAACTTTATTGACTGTGTCCTTTTCCAGACTTTTTATTAATTTATTGTAATTATTTGTTTCTTAGGTTTTCACGCACATCACTCATTAAATAAAACTAGTTTTTACGGGTTAATGCACGAAACTTTATTTATTTATTGACGTTTCGCAGCCTTTTCAGGTCTGCATCGTCAGAATAATGATTTTATTTAAAATTGTCGAGCTACCTTCGAAAGAATTATTATGTATGAATTTATTATTTAATTTACTTAATAAAGTATTTTATTTAAAATTCTTGTTTGTAATTTTGAGTTTATTTATTTGACCCTAACTACCGTAAACTACCACCGGTTCCAAAATTGGGAGACCTTCCTGAGAAGAACCGGCGAAACAAACTCAAGAGAGGCTTTCTATCTCCTTCTTATGTTAAATTATGCAAACAAAAAGAACTAATAGTATCTGATGGTCTTGCAGTGTGTGCTCGGGGTTGGGATTTTATCTCCTGTATAATAGGTTCCCAAGCTGGTGGTATAGGGAAGATGGTTGGTATATACTATTAGTTCTTTTTGTTTGCATAATTTAACATAAGAAGGAGATAGAAAGCCTCTCTTGAGTTTGTTTCGCCGGTTCTTCTCAGGAAGGTCTCCCAATTTTGGAACCGGTGGTAGTTTACGGTAGTTAGGGTCAAATAAATAAACTCAAAATTACAAACAAGAATTTTAAATAAAATACTTTATTAAGTAAATTAAATAATAAATTCATACATAGACAATAAAAAAATTTTAAAAATCTTCAATGAAATAACCGAACGCACAATATAATTCTTTCGAAGGTAGCTCGACAATTTTAAATAAAATCATTATTCTGACGATGCAGACCTGAAAAGGCTGCGAAACGTCAATAAATAAATAAAGTTTCGTGCATTAACCCGTAAAAACTAGTTTTATTTATTGTAATTAATTATTTGCATGCAATTAAAAACTAATTTTAAACGATGCCAAAGAAGGATAACTTCTCACGCGCCTACATAAGTACACGCACCCATTTTTTTTTCATTTATTGAGTTTGTCATTTATTCATTCACTCTAAATTTTATTTAATACGAGCGAAGTCGCGGGCGATACCTAGTATACTATAGCTACTATGAATGATGGTTGAGATGTGAAACAACAAGATTTAAACTTTTTGTTGATTATAAAAAATTAAAACTAAAACGCAGTCTTTCTTAATCCTGTAGCTATTTAAAGATATATAGGTATATAATGCTTTGATATAAGATAAATAAATAGATCAATGCACCCAAAACGGTTGTTTTGAAATATTTCTGATAAAACAATAAGTATAGACTGAGTTATTTTAATGATAGAGAGGATGACTAAATTTTTTTTCTTCATCCATCGGCTAGAATATCAGGAAGTATAGGACACGTAATTTTTTCTTAGTTTACATTTCAAAATTTGATACTTTAAATTAGAACTACTTTAGAACTATGTATTATCAAAACTTTAAAATATTGAGAATATATAATAGAAAATATGCGGCTATTTTATATAATATATATTATTATTATCTACAGTTCTTATAAAATATCAACAAAAGACAAAACGATAAATATGAAAGACAAAAAATTATAACCTAAATACGATGATATTTTGTAGTTGAAAAATAACATAACAAAAAAATAACAACAGTCATATAAAACAAAGTTCTTTGTTTCGAGGGTTCATAGCAGCAGGACTAAATAACATTTTGACGTGACAACGTCTTAAATTAGGTTGCGGCTGGGAGTCACTTATGAAAAAGTGTAACGCTCGGTAACGTTACGATGAGTCTCGTAGCATGCTGGAACCCCGTAGCCGTGTAGCAAGTTTGCTACGAATCGTCGTAGCGTGGTTGCATGCTACGATGGTATTCACAAGCACAATGCATTGTAATATGTTTTTTTGACGTATTATATATATTTCTATAGTTAAAATTTGTGCAATTCTTATTTTCATTCAATTCCTTGTTCCTATTGTGCAATTTAATTATATTCATATCAATAAATATTCTACCGAGAAAAAGACGTTGTCACGTAAAATTTTCGCCCGTAAAACCGACTTTACAGGCAACCATTTTTTTGACGTGACAACGTCTTAAATTAGGTTGCGGCTGGGAGTCACTTATGAAAAAGTGTAACGCTCGGTAACGTTACGATGAGTCTCTCGTGTTAAGTTTAAGTTTACATGTACAATGTTTTAGTAAACAAAATATATTTCTATAGTTAAAATTTGTGCAATTCTTATTTTCATTCAATTCCTTGTTCCTATTGTGCAATTTAATTATATTCATATCAATAAATATTCTACCGAGAAAAAGACGTTGTCACGTAAAATCTTCGCCCGTAAAACCGACTTTACAGGCAACCATTTTTTTTCCCTATTATACAGGGTTTTTTTTCATTTGACAATTTTATTTTTGTCGTTACCATAGACACGGAGGCGTAACGTAAGATGAACATTTACAAAGTATGATTCAAAATTTAAAAAAAAAACACGCTTTTAAGCATTGAGACATTGTTTAAGTCTTATTATAATACACAATGAATTTTAAATTACATCTAGCTGATTCAGACAATGATTTAGGATATGTTTCCGCAAAAAAAAAATTAATAAGGTTTTATGCACTGCATCGAATCGAATCGCACGTCAGTCTAATGCGACCAAGATCTTGTGTCATATGACGTTGACAGCGAGGCGTCAATGTCATATGCCACAAGACCCTGGACTAGAAATCTGCAAAATTTTTCCACTAGGGGCGCTGTAATCGCTTGACCCTAAGCTTCTGTCAAATACAAACCTATTAGCTTACATTCATTTTTTAGCTTTTTAATAAAACAAATTACAAATGCCGCATTTAGCAATTCCTGGGGGCCAATCGCCTAACTGGATTGCTTTGGAAAACGCTATCGCTTACGATTTCATTTTGTTATTTCTAGCCCCCTGAGGTTTTCAAATGCCTCGCGCTCTTTTTTTTTCTTTTGCATTGGTAATAACAATGTTAAAGAAAATGAGCGTGAGGTATTTCGGCGGTTAGAAATAACAAAATGAAATCGTAAGCGATAGCGTTTTCCAAAGCAATCTGGTTAGGCGATTGGCCCACTGGGGGCCAATCGCCTAAAGGAAATGCTTTGGGAAACGCTAACGCTTAGGATTTTATATTGTTATTTCTAGCCGCCTGAGGTTTTCGAATACCTCACGCTCATTTTTTTTAATATTGTTATTACCAATGCAGAAGAAAAAGAAAGAGCGCGAGGCATTTGAATACCTCAGGCGGCTAGGAATAACAAAATAAAATCGTAAGCGTTAGCGTTTTCCAAAGCATTTCCGTTAGGCGATTGGCCCCCTGGTTGTTGTGAGTAAACTGCATGCTTACCGATTAGAGTATAATTTTATATGCTGCTTTGAAAAGGGGGGTAGAACTGAGCTGTTGTTTACATCATGGTATGTATATCTAGGGCAGGTAATTGCATCTGGACGTCTTCATTTGATCATAAATAACTGCACCAAAATTAAAAATGCGGTCATACGCCTCAAGTCTGTAAAAAAACCCAATGTTATACTTACCATTTTAGCCAGAGGTAACCTAACTCTATGAGATGTCTGACTGATGCAAAAATAAGATAGCTTTGACTAATGAATCCGAAGAAAGTTACTGAGGTCCATGAACTATTAAAATAATCATGGAAAATGTATGTACCGAGA